TGGCGAAAAAAAAATTCCCAAACCCCAAGGAATCATGCTGGAGGTCAAAGATTAACATAGTTTGTTATAGGGTATGTTTTGTTTCCAGTCCATAACTTTCTCATCCAAGTCTAAAATAGTCTGTTACAGGGTATAATGCCAAGTCAAGTCCATGCAAATAAAATGTCATTGGTGAATTGCCCACACACATTGATTGAGGACTTGATATACCCTGTAACAGATTGTACTTGTCAAATTTTGTGGCTTTGAAATAGTGATAACAACTATACAAATGTATTTCTGTTGACAGGTTCACAGGGGTATTTCATGATATTTAAATTCTTTAATGAATCATTTATCGTTACTGGCATGTGTAGATCTAGCATTGATCAAACTTTTGCATCCATACCTCAATGTTTTGAAATAGCAAAAATTTGTGCTTCATGTAAAACTTCCCTTATGCGGCTGACGTTAGTAACTCTGTAACAAATTCTTGTTTATTTAATTATTATACCATCTCAGACATTCAAATTTATTCTACTAGCCAGGTGGTGCAATTCTGAGATGTACATACCAGTGTTTAAAGCGTGCAATAAAAAAGAATTAAGGAATGAGAGAACTTCTATTCATACTAGGATTTAAAATTGGTCAACTGTTTATTCATATCAGAGGTGGCTTCAAGCAATTAAAATGTTAGTAAACACTATGTGACCAGGAAGGAAAACACTGTGTGACCAGGAAGTACATGTGTATATTATTTCCGCTAACATCTCCTCAAATTATTTGTTATAGATTAGTCAGATAGATAGCAAAGGGCTAAAAAGGATGTCCTTATTAATATTTCTTGTCCGGGGAAATTAAAGTTTCTAAATGATGACTATTGATTAAAGTATGTCCTTAATTAATGTAACAGTGGTGGTTCGCATACTGCGGTGTTTAATAACGCAGCACTGTGGGACATTCGAGGGAATTAGACCTATCCGATCGTCTTTCCCAAGGAAAATTTTGCTGGTCTAAAAGCCAAGGTCCCCCCATTTTCCTCCGGCGGTGACAGGTGTGTTGGCTTACAAGTGGCAGATGATGCTTAATTAATTCCAATGTCATAGTAGGTCCAATGACTTTAAGTGATTAGTATCTTCATACGACCTAACTTAGTTAATAAGGTGTTTTATAACTAAGCGATTAAACTACATTTTATCTTTCTTGTATTAAACTGCATTGGGCGGATTTGAAAAGAACGCTTGTTTTTAAAATACGGGTTGGTTAGTTTCGATTAATTTTAAACATGCTAAAAAATTGTAATACTTAAAACAAAGAAAAACAATGACAAATGATGTGGTTGGGAGGTAAAGTATTACCAGAATAGGTTAATGTGATGTAAGAGTTTGCCATTTGATTCTAATTCTAATCTAAGTCTGGTTTAAATTCTGGACCAAAAAAGAAAAACATATGTGTTTTTTAAAAAGATTTATTAAATGCATATGTACACATCTGCTCTCTAAAGTTTCTATCAAATGTCACACAACTGGTATGATACGCATGGAATTTACCATACCTGTTTAGGAGACACGGAATGTCAAATACGTAGGTTTATAACCCTTGCCTTGGGGTTATATTTCCAAACAACCGTTCATTTAGGGTCATATATCCTGTCAAAAATCTTTATAACTAATCAAATATACCAGATTCGCTTTCAAATATCATACATGTATTAGTATATAGTTATCACTATTTCATTGTCTTTCTCTATTTTCTGACTAGTTACCGGACAAAAACAAGTTATTCATAGGGGTGGTGGGTGTTTTGGGGTATTTTTTACAATCGCGCAGTTTATCAACACAGTAACTGTTCGGACCGTCACATATTTTCATCTCAAGACTATTCGGCGGGGATTGGGCTGCGGATCCATATCCACTACTGTCTGTTTCCATTGAAGTTCTGCCATACTCATCAAAATCATTCTTGTCAGAGTTATTACTGGACTGTGATAAGTTAAATGAATCTACGTTTGAATGTGTAGAAGAATTTCCAACGCTATCGCTGTCATCCATTAACATAGAACTTGCTTCCGGTTCTCCATCTTCCAGTGGATGCTCAGGCGCGTGTTTGCCGCGCAAATGGGCGGTAGACGCTTGTCTGATCATGTCCTCGTCTAAGCCTCCAGCGATAGACGCTTGATTTGTTATGTCTATGTGTAACTCTTTGCTAATACAAGCAGTCTCTTGGCCGTTGATGTCCGCCTCTAATACCTGCAAGACGGAAACAGACGCTTGACTGCATATGTTCCCGTCGACTCGATCTGTCACGGAAGGGAAAGATGCTGGACCAGACGGGTGATTTGTAGAGGCTGGCAATTCTTCAAATTCACAGTTGTTTTGTTGTGCTTTGACAACTCCATTTTCTTTGTCATAGCCAATGTATTGATCTGAAATTAACAAATGTATATACAAATAGCTACATTCCAATAGTGTGTCTGCAATAATCTACACATTTCAGAGTGGGTTAATAGGTAGAAACATGTCCATTCTTTTTTGTTCTTTTTCTGTTCACGACATCTTTGAATATTTAAATCAAATTAACAGCATTACAATCCTTGTACATGTAGATTAATAAAAGCCAAATATATATACATTGTACCATCAAAAAGCATTGATATTTCAATGGACGTTTGTTAGATTTCATATGCTTGCATTTTTAAAGCCAGAGTATTTACAGCAATTTTATATGGGTACGTATAAAACATATAGAGATTAAAAAGTGATTCTCAGCTAAATATTATACAGAATTCTAGTATTTTCGATGGGTTGGTCCGATGGTGCAAACAAGCAAGTTTATTTATGTCTGAATCAGTATACATGTAGTATGTTTCTATGAGAGAAATATACTTTTCAGGTTTATTCATAATTTCGTACCATGTCATTAAAACAAAAAAGTGTCCATTAATCAGAAAGCATTAAAAAGACTTACCCTTCAGTTGGAAACGCACTTTGCTCCCCAACATAATTATTTTGAACCACACCGCGTCGTTCTAGAAGTAAACAGGAAAACAATTAACAGATTAATATACAATTTACCCAGTGTACTCTATAGTATTTGTAATACTTTCTCATATATATTATGTTATTAGAACAAGGCATACTTATATTATAGTTTCTCTAGCTTCTCTCAATTCTGATCGAAATATTTGTACATGTATGTAAGATCTCCTTAATTAAACAATTTATATTCAAGCAATCTGAAAAGACTCTAAAGAGTAAATAAAAAATAGAAAAAAGTATTGCAAGAATAACTGAAAGAATTATTTTAATTCTACAAAAAACACCGTATGTATCATTAAACGTAATATTGATGATGCTTTAATTTTGTATAAAGAGAAATAGAAATAGAGACCCTCTGATGAGCAATTTCCTCTGTACAACAACAGTATAATTTCTTACTGAAGTTAACATTCACAAGAAATTTACAGCAAGACCTCTTAACTGTACCAAAAATATTTCTTTTCCAGTGTGGTTTGCTCTGTTGGGTCTACACTGTACATACAACAATAATAATGTTTGCAAATTACCTTTAACACGATATGATTATTTGTTTTGGCTATTCCAATATATCTGGTCTTGTCCCTGTTGCACAGAGCAGCTTCAAAGTCTATTTGGCCGGCCTGGCCTGACGGCCAAAACCTACATCGCTTCTTTATAATCTCTAAATAAATAATAGAAATAATAAAATATAAAGCTAATTATATAGATCTATATAATATTGCAAAGAATAAGACTTTGTACAATATTAAATATTATATTTTGTTACAACCATGCATAGTCAAACATCAACAGTTATTTCAAGACTTGGTCACTCTAGCCACTGAGATCGATAAATAAATAAATAAATAAATAAATAAATAAATAAATAAACAAGCAATTATCCCTACCGGTTAGAACCCCAGCAACATTCTGAAGGGCCATTGACCATTCACTTATGTTTCTATTTTAAGTAAATTTGTTGAAAAAGTTCTTTAAAATAATTTTCAGCATAGGAAAAAAAGAAAAAGACGTGCATAATCTCCATACTGCCATCTATCCATATATCAAGTTTCATAAAAATATTTTCAGTACTTTTTGCGTTATCGAGGGATCCAGTTTTGTGGACGGACGGACTGACGGACGGACAGAGGGTAAACCTAAAGTCCCCTCCGGTAAACCGGTAGGGGACTAATAATGTTTTTATTTATTTTTTGTCTTCAAAATGAATTAAGATATTGATGTCCCATGTGTTCAGGAAGTCGCAGCTGCTAGGACAATATACTTGTAGTACATTAGAAGAGCTTTATTCAAAGTAACCGTCTGCAACCACTACAATAATTATAAATACTGAAGTAAAAGCTTTAGTAACAACCTCGGAAATATGAACTATATAGTCTTTGATTAACATTGTGTGTTAGAATAGTAGAAAAATAGTGTTTATATACATGTATAATGTACCAGTCAATTGTAACACCGACTCACCCCGAGTAATTGTGGGGGGAAATACTACATGTACTAGTAGTTTATACCCTGGCATTGTCTGTTCAATGCGAGGGTTTTTGTTATGGCGTCAAAATGGCGGGGGTATATCCATACAGCTCTTACTTTTGGGGACACTATCATCTGACCATGTAAGGTGGGGGAGGAAATTATACCTTCGGGTTTTAAAATTCAAAACGGAAAGTCCCAGCTATTCCCTAACAGCGGCGGCGGTTACAACTGAGTTACAACATACTGATACATTATTGATGTACAAATATACGAAAATAATATTACTGTTATTGTCGGATTCGTCCTGTTTAAAGACGTCTATACAAACACTTTTGTTGGATATTTCCAGATATTTCTGCGTCATTGGCACTTTGTACAGATGGCTGCTTGTTGCTGTTTCAATTTTACCCGCCTCTTCTTTTAATTGTCTGTATTCAACAGGTTTGATAATAGGACCTTTGTCTGTAAAATACAATAACTGAGTATCTATTCTTCATTTGAATCAGAGTCTTTCAAATCAGGTACGTATATTAACAATATACGTACCTGCTCAAATATAGAAAGATCCTGATTGAATACAGTAAGTGTAGAACAAATACCTTTGAGATTGAAAACTGATCTAAGTAATATATAAAGGTCACATATATTTGCTTTTATTTACATAAAGTTCAATTATATTTGTTAGTGCTTGGATTTTACAACATATATGCACATGTATATAAACCGCACTCGAGTTTCCTATCTGGGAACAAGTACATGTTCTATAGTGTCATTTTAGGACACGTGGATGCGCACCGTTCCCCTTAACACTTCATGTACTAACCATTAGGATAGTGCAAGGTAAAATGGTTATCATATCTTTTCAGTTTCAATTGGTTTTTATTTGTTTGGGTCGTCACACCAAACAATAATGGTACTCTGAAGCTGTTAATTGCAAATGCCGAAAGTAGTTCGCTTTTTTGAAGCGGTTACTTCCCTTTATATGTACACTAACGCCGAAAAATTCACCATGGCCGAGGGGTTTGCGCGCTCGCTAAAGAAGCGACAGGTCTGGAGTTCAAATCCCAGTCAAGGCAACTCATTTTTTTCAAATTATTTAAGTCAAATAAACATTGAATTGAATATCAGTGTTGCAATAAATCTAATAGCCAATTTTCTACAATTAAAACGCTGGAAAGCATTGGTGGCACTATACAAAAACTAATTGGTTTAAAATCTCACAACCTTCACCATTCTGACATTCTGAGACCCTAACAAATTCAGCGCCTTCTGTGCTTTGATTTAAATTATTTTAGTGCCAGCACCACCGTGACGTGGCTTAGTAGAACTAGATTCATAAGATACGGACATTTATTAATCAGCGGAAAGTTTTTTATTACCGCGTTTCGATATCGCCGGAAACACCTTAAGAAAGAAGTACTTAATACAATATTTACTTCTACTGACACTGAAATAAAAATAGAATAAAAAGGAAATTCTAGCACCTATAAAGGGAAGTTCAGAACTAAAATACGGGAACAAAAAAGTGAATTAATAATGATTTATTTGTCACCAGAAAGGGAAATTTGAATATAACCTTACATAAAAGGGGACATAATATCATATTGTGTCCCAGATATAAGGAAGAAATCTAAGCACAGAATCGCCTTTCTTTGAAAAATATGTAAACAATAACTACCTGGCAATTTGTCTGGTGTAAGAATTGCACTTGTTTGTATCCATTTCCATTCTTTGTCCTCTACACGCCGAATTACCTATCAATTATTATAATATGTTTAAATGGTACTATAATCAGGGCTGGGAATCAAAACTGCGTCGTATCCTACAAAATGTAAACAAACGCCGCCATCTTGGAACGAAAAACGTATGTTTTTGTTTATAACTCTTTTTGTTGGAAATGACTGAAAACCAGATATATTTATTAACACGCTACACTATTTTCCGCTTCGTTCGGTATATGTTGCTTGCACAACTATTTTGTAAAACAAAAGTTATAGCGAACTTGCAACTCGAAGCGGGGCAGAATTTTTATTAAAATGTGTGGATACGACGCAGTTCATATTGCTTTATCTATCGTATTTTCCTTCAAATCAATTATATATTTGTTTCCGAGTTCACCATAAACTTTGAAATATAAATTTGCATCATTTACTAAAATTTCATTTAAAATAGATGTTTATTTTCTAAGAAAATAGTGATTTTTACGAAATGATACGACGCAGTTAACAATAAAATATGATACGACGCAGTTGTATTTTTGGCAGTCTTTTCAACAGGGATTATTTTGGCAATATATTTCTATTTTATGGAATAATCACTTGCGCTAGATAAAAAACCCAGATCACTTGCGGTGTATAGCAATGTTCTGTTGCTTTTGATTATTAAAAATACAATGTGTCATGTCCAATATAACATATAATTTGAAAGTTTACATTGCGGAAGCTACTTTTCAGTTAAACATGAACATGTTACCTAACGGATCATAATATCTGAAATAATTTCTTATATTTTCATGTATGTTCAATATTATCCCTAATTTTTTTCGCAAAAAATGTAGAAATCTATTAACTTGAATTCATTTTGGCTAGCTACGCTCTAAGTTAACTGTGGTTCTGTATGTTCTGGGTAATGACTGCTTTTTTGTGGTTTCTTTTCAAACTTTCACTCTACACATTAGCTTTACTAGGGGCGAGGACCTCAGGTGCGCCTTTGTGCATTATTTCAGGCAAAATGCTGCACCTTCAGAGAACTATCGACATTTTGAAACTAGCTTTCATGAAAGAATAAAAAGTCCCTGGTGGTTTTCGAATTTATAGCAGATTCATGTGATTTGAATTCAGTAAACATAAACAGCTCGGCCTCGGTCGGACACACCTGTCTGATTTATTTTTTCAACAAAATTTGTTAACGTTAGCTGTACAAATAAGCAGCTTTTTTATTAACTTCTGGCGTGAAGTTTTAAGATTTTAAATATTTGAATTAATTATAAAGAGAGCACCATTTAAATTTCTTATTTCGGAATGACTAACAGAGAAATTTTCAATGTAAACAGGGGGTAATCCTCTGTGAAGTCATTTTCTGAAAACTTTTGTTTAAGTTTTCAGGCAATTCATTATCAAATAAAAATCACACTTCAGTATAAAGGTATGTTAAGATGTCATGTCTCTAGTCTGTGCGATGCGATAATCTGACCTAAATTTTCTGTTCAATATTGTGAAAACTTCTACAATACTGTTGAAAGATCATGTCTGCCTCTATCTGTATCAAATTTATCGGTGCACAGCGTAAAAATACCTTTGCAAAACGGACACCTTTTTTACAAAATAATTTGTAGTTGTATCATATGTAACTCGATTTTGAAAATTTAAAGTTTTTTGATGGAGAAGAATGATACTTAAGTGCAAATATAAAAAATACATTCCGTAGACCTTTCCCAACGGCTATAAAGAAATGCAATACGACAAAATCAGCGGTAAAGTTCTCGGCGCTGAACACGGAACGCATAACCTACTTGCAAAAATATATTGTAGCTTAACCATTTATAATATAATTTTAAAAATTTAATGTTCAGTTTCAAATAATAAATCTCATCTGTCCTCACCGATTATTAAGAAATAAATACAATAAAATCGGCACGTAAAAGACATAAGTAATAACGGAATTGACGGAAATTATTGCTAATCACAAGTAACAAAGGTAGGCATACAATTTGCGCATAGCTCTCTCCCGATAGCGAGAGACCTTTTCAAAATTTGTAATTCTTACTCTTTTTTTAAATAAAAATGGTCATTCCTGATTAATACAGGGTCCAGGAGAGGTTACACTGGAATATTGAATTTTGTATAAATATAGTAATCACTCCCATTTCGAACTCATGGGAACAAGTTTATAAGCATGCTAAGGCAACACTAGAACACGTTGTCATATGGGTGTGCGATCACGTGTTTCAATGTATATTGCATTTGATACAGCTTTTAAGAATTTGTAGATGCTTATGATAGGTACTAAAATGCGACCGAAAAATGCAGCCTTAATAGAATAGTATTACATTTCCATTTTTATGAAACCAATGAGTGACCTCATCTTTTGACTTAAGTCGTAAACAAATAATGTTGTTGGACGTTATTAGCATACCTAGCACATAATTTAAATAGTTTAACCAATATGCAGCCTGCAATGAAAATACAACTGCGTCGTATCATATTTTATTTTCAACTGCGTCGTATCATTTCGTAAAAATCATTATTTTCTTGAAAAATAAAAATCTCTTTTTAATAAAAGTTTAGTAAATGATCCAAAATTATGTTTTGAAGTTTATGGTGAACTCTGAAAACGAGTATATAATTGATTTGAAGGAAAAAACGATAGATAAAGCAATATGAACTGCGTCGTATCCACACATTTTAATAAAAATTCTGCCCCGCTTCGAGTTGCAAGTTCGCTTTAACTTTTGTTTTACAAAATAGTTGTGCAAGCAACATATAACGAACGAAGCGGAAAAAAGTGTAGCGTGTTAATACATATATCTGGTTTTCAGTCATTTCCAACAAAAAGAGTTATAAACAAAAACATACGTTTTTCGTTCCAAGATGGCGGCGTTTGTTTACATTTTGTAGGATACGACGCAGTTTTGATTCCCAGCCCTGATAATCGGATAAAACTAAAAGAATATACATTTATGATTATACATTTATGATATAATATAAAGCTGTGACTGCAATTTAAGTATTGGTTTCAAATTCCAAAGTATTCCAAAATGCGACTAAGATGCAGAATGTTATTGCGTAGTAGTTTGTACATTATACACAAATGTACTGAAAATATGTTCATATATATTGAGTAAGTTCGCCTCACCAGAGAAAACGTTGTTTTACCGTCCACCTGCACGTGATGAAACAGATTCAAAACATCTGTGTGTTTAAGGTCAGGCACAAATATATCTCCAATTAGAACTAGTTCATCATCTTTCCTGCAATAACGCATATAGTAGCAATGTTTTCACTTATTTCAATTAGGAATACACGACCTAGCTCTTATGAATTATCGTATGTACGACTTAACGGCTATTTCCGTATACTTCTCATTATTATCATGTGGATACTATTTAATGATTTATAATTCTAGATCTTTCATTTTCTTATTTCGCCTTTTTTGTTATTATCAAACATTCAAATATCATTTTATTGCAAAAAGTGTTACCGAGCACGTAAAAATCCCAGTCACGGTATCAAATTGTTAAACATAGTAAAACTTGTCTTTAAAGGACCCGAATCGGAAAAAGATGTCATCGACAAGAGATCCCTGAATACAGGTAATATCGAACTTCAACTATATCATTAAAATGGAGAGTAAAATGTTGAACTTCAACGAAAGGAAGTCTTTATTCCAGGCGATCCCTACCACAATTTTGTCCGTATTTTTCTCTCCTCACATAGCCCTTATCCTGAATTTCTGCTGGAATCGAAAGACATTAGCCTCTGTCACCAGTATCCCGACAGAGTAGGGTCAGCCTGCACGTTTGTGCTCTTTGACCACGCCCTATTTTTTGTAGTTCCTTTTTGTATTTTGATACAGAAATCCCCTAAACTCTAAATGAACTTATCCTAATTAAAAGAAGGGCAAATCTATTACATGACTTCAACAAGTTAATTGTAAGTTTCGTTTGGTTACTTTTCAGGTCAGTTATACATGTACATGGATATCTTACCGAATTCCCATGTCTTTAGCTGGCCCTGTAATTCGGCCGATAAGAAAATGTCTGAAGTACGGGGGTTTATGCTTGTCATCATTGTATGTTCCCAACTTTGCCCCAAAGTCATCACCCTCGGGCCTGTCAGCGTGTGGGTGTGGTATAACAATATTTGTAACATAGTCAGGTTTCTAAAAATAGGATAACATAATTTTGAAGTAATAACATGTTAAGCAAATAACATATTTTTTTCGTTGAAAAAAAAACTTAGCTTTAAACATACCAAAAAACACTGAAATTATTTAGTGTTAATTGAACCGATTTGCAAATAGAAAAATGAAAATAGTATATATATATATACCTTAAATAAACGTTCTTATTGAAAACGAAACTCTCGATTTTTCTTTTATATTCTTGTCTTTAAATCTAAGAATATTAAAAAGAACCGAAAAAATCTAATATATCTAAAAAGTAAAATATGTATACATTTATGATATAATATAAAGTTCCCTGTCAATTTAAGTAAAAAGTCATACAATTATATCTAATCATTGTGACAACGTTGTGCCCTTCTGTTTTGCGTTTCAGCGTTTGTTTTTGTTTTTTTTTACTTTCCAATCAGTTATTGTGCGTATGCCTATAGGCACACGCCTGTAAGTTTACAAGTAAGTTATTGATGTATAATATTGAAACTTTGTAACTGTTATATACGTGTAAAAGTGTTAGTATTTTTTTCTGGTTAAATATTCATGCGGTATAATAATATTATAAAATTATTCGATTAATAAGATGATTGATATAAAGCATAATAATTGTTCTTGTTTGAATTTTGAATATGTTTATGCAGTTTGGGTTGTCCTCTATAAATAGATTAAAAATTAAGGTCCATCATCCATAAGAACTTTTTTAGGTAAATGTGGACATCCGATGCTTTCAGATATATGGCCTACAATATGTATCTGTATGCGGACAGCTGTCCGTCTCTCTTCTTTTTAGGCATGGAGCTAGTGATGTTACTGTTTTAGTTATATCATGTAGTTCACAGACTTATAATTAATCAGAGCTATATCGCAGTATGGAATTTTATAAAAGTTATTTTATATAAATACATACATACGGTCGGTTTTTGTTAAAGTCTGAAAAGTCAAAATTTTCCTGATGAAACCGAATAATTAAGATTGTTAGATTGCTATATAAATAGTTGAGTGATTAATGTCGATTCTAGTTTATTTAAAAGTTTATTTACATAACTGGTAATTCTATTTTATCAATATAACAATGTTATGGAAAACCAATTTTTACATTAATAAAATGTGCAGGCTATTTTTGGATTTTTGAGAGTCATTTACTTTCACTTTTACTTTCTATATCAAGTAGACATATTTTCAACTTTATTCATGTTGATACTACATGCATATACAAACACATTAATTAGTGGTTGAAATTATATTTTGAATCTTTGCGATACGATGATTTAACGAACAAATGTATGCAATGGATATGCCCTGCACTGCCTAAAGGCCGTGTCGGGTCTTTCCGACACTAAACTGAATAACGCTACACTTTTTTTTCTACACGTAAAACATAAAGCATACGTGGTACTTAACGTGTTGACTAACCTGTTTTCCAATAGGTATCATACACAGTAAAGTCCTCGTATTTTGGGCTGGCGACTTTGTTGGATTCATATCGGCGAAATCAGCAGGCGTTAGACTTGGGGCGTGATCAAGCATCTTCTCCCTCATGTTACAGGTGTAGATTACGTCCATTTCTAGGTCAAAATGTGCACGTTGATCCTTGCATTTGTTGTCAGTTATTTTAATACTGGTTTCGGCACATGTTTTACCTTGAAACACCACATTTGAACAAGTAGCTGTCGGCAGCTTATGTCCAGCACTTCCTCTATTAGAGCATGGCATGGATCCATTTTCAGTCACACTTTTCTTCTGTTCATTAGTCATTTTTTCTACACATTTTTTCTTACTCTTTCTAATTGAACTACATGATTGATCTTTCCCATTTTCCGATGTACCAGTTATTACTGGTCTATATTGTACAGTGTCCTTTGTAAAACCAAATCCCGGTTGTGATTCTACTCCGCGTCTACTTTTCTTTGGTTTGATTTTGTCTGGCGTTCTGCATGCGGCTATTTCAGCATTGACACCTTTTTCGTTTTTGGTGTCGTTTGTCTCATTTTCACTCCTTGGCTCTCTTCTTGTCGCTTTTCCACCATCAACATCTTGTTGTAGATTATTAGAAGCATCTTGCTGGCTTTCTTCTGATGTTTTCTCACTTTCTTCTCGCATTTGTGCTACTTCATTTTCAGTTTCAAGTCGATCATCACCTATATTAGACTTTTGTCTTTTAAAACCGTCTGATTTCGGACAGTGTCCTTTTTGCCTCTTCATTCTGAATAGTTTTTTTTTAAAGTATTTTGTTTAATCCCGGAACAAAACAAGTGTCCCTAAATACGGCGATACGCAGTTTTATTTAAAAAAAGCTAATACGTTTACGTCATTTCCTCGTGGTAAAATGAAACCCACTTCTCGAAACTGAAACTAGATAAATAGACAAAAAAAAAGAGAAATAATCATTCCATCATTCCATTCGCGTTTAGTTTAATCGATCTGTCCTCTTTTATCACAAGTAGTGTAAATAACAAGTTCTTTGTCCTTAGTCACGTGTTATAATAGTAAGTCTTACATATCTGTAATTTAACAACGTTTAAAAGACAATTAAAATGCATTTAAATATGAGCTGCGTCACGACAAAGCCAACGTTATGCGTGGATCCAGACCAGCCTGCGCATCCAGGATCCATGCTGTTTGCTATCAGTTTCTCTACTTGTAATAGGGTTTGCAAGCGAACAGCATGGATCCTGATCAGACTGCGTAGATACGCAGGCTGGTCTGGATCCATGCTGGTCGCAAACGCACTATGTTGGTGTTGTCGTGACGCGGCTCATATATTGTATATATACAGTGCCATCTCCCCTATAATGGTTACCCTATCACCAACAACCACCTCCTTTAAACAGCCACTTTCAACCCCCCCCCCCCCCGGATAGGTTTAACTCTTATCAACAGTCACCTCTGAACTCCAACTAACAGCCACTTGTTTTTCTTTACTTGACTGCACTATTTTTACATTTTTTTTGGTATATGGGATTTTCCCTATAAACCAATACAAGTGCATTATGATGCAGCAGTGCAAGTCAAACGTCCTTGTATATTTTGAAGGACATGAACCACGTGACATAAAAACTTGTTACATTGTTAAATCAACATGAAAATGAAATATGAACTAAGTAAATGGTGTACATATATTATCTTTTGTGCTTACTTTTGAACAGTAATGAAATTAATTAATACACTTCGATTTCCTCTTGTAATTCTGGTAGTCTCAATATTTCGTCTGCAAAGACCGACCGATTTTACAAACTGATATACAATGTACATAGAAGGGCGATCATCGTCTACATAGCCCTGGCGCTACAGTTCCGGTAGCTTATTAAGCCAAATACTGTCCTACGTATTCTACAATTTTAAAAGAAAAATGAATACTGAACATGATATTTATGCCAGCCCGCATAAATATAAAACGTCATGAACGTTTTTATGATCAAACTGTTTCCATTAACCAAATGTTCGTCTGCACATGTCAGCATCAACAATTTTTAAGTACATGTAATAAATACCTTACAGCTGATAAGCACTTCAAATGATCCTGTATTCACAATTTGTTACGTTTCTACAACTCTACACAACTCAACAACATTAAAATTTCATCCGTGACACAAATTAACACTGCGAGCAACAGCCACTTCTCTACAACAGCCAATTTCGGATTATCCGACAGCTGGTCGTTGTATACTGTATAATTATATACATTTACATTTATCCTTTCCAAAAATATCTATATCAACATTGTATGAAAAACATTTATTTCTTAAAAACACCCACTAACGAATTCAAAGGACATCTACCTCGCTCGGTCGTTTTTGTAACACTCCTATCTTAAGCATGTTTAACCTTTTATATTAAACCTAATCTACGCCTACTTATGGATGGGAATTCCAATGACTCATGACTCATTTTGTGACCTCGGCATTTTATAATTGAACGGATTTTAAAGCATCTAACAAGCTTGAGGAGACAGCGATGACCTATCAAGTAACGGTTGCATTAAGTTAAGTTAAACTATTCCAGTTGATTATTTGCTTTTCATAATATTGCAAAAAAAAAAAAAAAAAAAAAAAAAAATATATATATATATACATGTAGTCCAATTTCGTATTAGTTAAATGGGAGCTTATCAACGATTACATTTTTAACAGTTTTGTACAAGATCGAAATTTATTTTTTATTTATTTTTATCACGGATTACCATTATTAATATAAATCCGTGTTTTTATATATAAATATTCCAACATTATACCCGTAGCTATATCGTATTTTTCACATGCATAAAGTAGGAAATGAATGTGTTATCTCTGGTTTAAAGTGATAAATATGCTATCATGTTGAAACAAAAAAGGTGATTAGAACATATTAAAATTTTAATCTTTTATTTCTAATTTGAAGATGCTCTATCGATTAACACGTCACCGAATAGTCATAGCAATATTAGTATTATTGGGTTTCTATTCTATGTTTTATAAGACGCAGTAGTTTTAAAGGTGCTTTCTACAAATGAAAGTTATTTACTTCCTTATTGAAAAAAAAATAGCAAACGTTGGTTAGCATTTATTTTTTGGTATTTGATTTCATAATTAGATATAGTTCGATCTTGTACAAAAGTACTTAAATTAAATCTTTGACAAGCTTCCATTACAATCTCATAGAAATTCGTTTCTTTTAGTTTTTCTATCACTTTCTACAATGTATATCAGTTATTATGTGCAACTAGCTTGTTAGAATGTGTTATTTATACATGATTACTCATGGTTTAAACGAGTTTAGGTAACCACTTCTAACAGGTTAACTTATATATAATCTTAAGATTCTTAGTTCATGCACGTGACTAAGGTCCTGTCACATCATTTTATGGGAAAAGATAAAGCAAATGTTATCTAAAAATATGTAAATATATTGTTCTCTAATATAATGTTGTAAAGTAGAGCCAATCCCATAATGTCAACTTCAATGATTAATTATAATTAAATATGTTACTTTTGGATAACCAATAAAATAAAGAAAAAAATGTTTCTATATTAAATTAATTGTGGATTTAACCGAATGAAGATCAAATAAGCATTGGTATGACCCGGATCAAAGAAAATATCAGCGGAAAGTCTTCTGCAGAATGATTGTAAATTATTGACGGAAGGCGAATTCACAAGAACTTATGGAAATAATTAATAATATCAAATATAATTTGTATAAGACGCAACATTACTGAAAGTACATGACCACGCCATTCCCAAGACGGAAAATATTAGTGTAAACAGTATTAGTGTAAACAGTATTATTAGATACAGCGCAATTTGAACTGACGCAAATCAGTCGCACTACAGTATGGGATTCCTTTTCTTAGTTGATACGCGTTACAATTTCGAGTATATTTCATATATATAGAAAATAATGACAATATACATGTATATCAAGTATAGGATATTAAGTGTGAACTATTTTTAAAGTCACAAGAAGATCACACGTCGACTTTCAAACCGCCGTACAGCGACAAAATTCATATCTTTAGCTAATACACCGTGGAAAATGCATGAAGGTTAATTATCACACCACTTTACCCTTAAAAATTAACCCTTTAAGGACATGACTTGTGACATGTGATATCCCGGTTCGTACTCGACAGCGAAAGCTTCATTTAGTGCCTGAAAGGCGAATGGACCCTCATTAAGCATAGGCTTCTTCATCTTGTTATTTGACGGGGTGACCACCATTTTTACCCCGGATGACATATTCCAGCTTAACATTTAAATTATTAAGAAAAACTGTCTAAGCCAGTTTTATAAAAACTTGTCATTTTCGTTTTACCCCCTATGATCTTTCTTGTCTTAAATTTCATCGAGTTGTTGAGTTAATTAAACCATAAACAATTAAGTAAAAACAAATAGTGGTGACGGCTCCTGTCTAGCAGCTACATTAATGTCAGCATGCTCGACTATTCGAAAATAAAGTGCCTAGATACTTTTTTGATAGGGGAAGAATTCATTAACAATCCATCACAAAGCTGTAATTTTCTTATTTCATAAAAAGCAACACTTTACCCCAAATCCTTACTTGACTTAGGTGTCTTTGATGGAGGCCTGTGATAACGAATCCAACTAATTAGAATTAACAAATAGATATCAAGATAATTTTTGGATGGGTGACGTCTTTTATTCCATCTGACAGATGGAAAAAGAAGAAAATTCTGTCTGATCTTAAAAGCTCATTCTGAACCAGATCAGCTGAGCTAAAAATGTAAGCTTAAAATTTAAGCTATAAATCAAATGCAGACCTGTCATATCAGAGACATAGATAATGTTATCTATGTCTCTGGTCATATACAGGTCTAAGCATTATTTTACTGCAGTTTGGAAGGACAAAATACAATGTATTCATAATACAATTATGAGCAAGAGGGCCCTGGATCGCTCACCTGACAAATAGGTCAAAAGGTCAAAGTGCAGCCCCTTTTCACCCAAGAACTCAAATTTGAAAACAAGGGACAGCTTAATCTGAACAATTTTGTGTACTGTCACCGAGGAAATGTTTGTGTAAATTTATTTCAAAATTGAACCAGTGGTCCAGTTTTAGCTGTGGCCGCCATTTTATTAAACAGTTCAGCCTGTCAATAAGTGAGAGGTGAGCTAATAAAAAGATGACCGAAAAAGAGAAGGAAAACAAACATTGAACTGTGGCTGGGTATTGAACTGTCGACCTCGATCCCCTGGGCCAGGTTAATTTTGAACCTAGGGCTTATATTTCAACACACATGGTAGAAATACAAAAGAACATGTTTCATGCCAAATATCTAAGCTCTACCTCCTTTGGATTTTCACAAGAATTTTTTTTAAAGTTTTACTATATACATGTATATATAACGAAAATAAATGACCCCCTGGGGCGGGGCCAATTTTGACCCAAGGGAATTTATTTGAACAAACTTCGTAGACATCCACTAGAAGATGTTTCATGCCAAATATCTTATCTATAGTGCTTTTGGATTTTCACAAGAGTTTTAAATAATTTACTATTACATATACAATCAATCACCCCTTGGGCTAGGCCAATTTTAAATCTAAAGGCTTTCATTTGAACAAACTTGTTAGACATTGACTAGAAGATGTTTCATGTCTAAGCTCTACCTCTTTTGGATTTTTACAAGAAGAGATTTTAAGTTTTTATTATATACATGCAAGGAAAATCAATGACCCCTGGGGTGGGGCCAATTTCCACCCTAGGGCTTTTATTTGAACAAACTTGGTAGACATCCATTAGAAGATGTTTCATGCCAAATATCTAAGCTCTAGCTCTTTTACAAGAAGATTTTTTTTAAATTTTTTGTAAAAAAATCTTTTGGTTGCCATGGCAACAAGAGTTCTTTATGGAATTTAATTGTTTGAACAACTTTGGTAGAGCTTCATGCAAGGAGTATCCCTGCAAAGTTTCAACAAATTTGGCCATGTGGTTTAAGAGGAGAAGTTTTTAAAAGAAATTGTTGACGCACTGACGATGGACGGCGGACAATGGGCCATCACAAAAGCTCACCTTGAGGACATAGTCAATCAATTTTGACTCAAATATAATATAACCTAATATTCTATTGTATATCTTTTCATTGCAGTTTCAAATATCAACAGTAACAATAAAACTATTTTACAAAATGTTGTAATTTATTTATGTACAAATGTAAATGATACACTCATGAAAATGCTTAAAGTAAATAATATATGATGTAAAAATGATATGAAAATGAAAACAATACAAAACAATATAACATCAAGTATCATAGTCATCGTCTATTTTTCTCTTGAGAGGGTTGATATTTTGTAAAAGTGTCTGTCCGCCTGGGGCTGGTACCATGGTTACCTGCTGATTGGTGCCCATTATTTGTGTCTGTACCAAGCTACCACCAGAACTTACTTGACCTTGCATTAACCCTTGACCTAAAAAATAGAACACAAATTAATTTATAATTTAGTTTCTTTAAGTGTGATTTATTTTATATATATTTCTCCAGGTAAATGCAGCATGGGGTGGATGAAGGCCACAGATATTTTAGTGAATCAGATCAACAAGTGCTTTATAATTCATGTACACATGTACATTATTTCATGCATGAGTAGATATCTGGACAGAACTTAAAACCATTTAGATCAAATACCAAGTGCTTTTTCACTTGAAAGAGTTCAATTCTAGTGGGATAGATTTAAATGACAAGTTTCAAAATATATGAAATTAAAAACATGAACCATACAATACGACATTAGAAACATGTACATTAGAAACATGTACTATACAACATGACATTAGAAACATGTACCATACAACATGACATTAGAAACATGTACCATACAATATGACATTAGAAACATGAACCATACAATATGACATTAGAAACATGTACCATACAATATGACATTAGAAACATGTACCATACAATATGAAATCAGAAACATGTACCATACAATATGACATTAGAAACATATACCATACAATACGACATTAGAAACATGAACCATACAATATGACATTAGAAACATGTACCATACAATATGACATTAGAAACATGTACCATACAATATGACATTAGAAACATGTACCATACAATATGAAATCAGAAACATGTACCATACAATATGACATTAGAAACATATACCATACAATGACGACATTAGAAACTTGTACCATACAATATGACATTAGAAACTTGTACCATACAATATGACATTAGAAACATGAACCATACAATATGACATTAGAAACATGAACCATACAATATGACATTAGAAACATGTACCATACAATATGACATTAGAAACATGTACCATACAATATGACATTAGAAACATGTACCATACAATACGACATTAGAAACATGTACCAAACAATATGACATTAGAAACATGAACCATACAATATGACATAAGAAACATGTACCATACAATATGACATTAGAAACATGTACCATACAATCATAATAGTTTGATAAGGATCATTTCATCCACTCGTATGAACCTGTTGAATTTTATTTTCCATTACAACAGGGGCCAGATTACATAAAATGAGCTAATTATAACAAAAGGTACATAACAATTTAAAGTAAATCTGAGTAACACTTTCAAAATTCAACACCAATGATGAAGCCATACATTAGACTACAGACACTGAGCATCCAAATTATTAGTACACCCTGGACTTTTAATTTTGATGACACTGAAAACAAAATTATAATCACAGTAACAAACCTTGTTGAACTCGTACTATAGGCTTTACTTGTGATGGTCTGTTAATTACTGTAAGCGGTTGAGTTGGCGTACCTATCTGGATCTTACCTGTAAATTAACAATCTCAAATGTTAAGTTAGAGACATAAACATTTCAAAAAATATTCTTGCTTAATTTGTTAGAATTCTTTTTAATAATTGTAAGAATTCTTTTTAATATTTGTAAGAATTCTTTTTATTATTTGTAAGAATTATTTTTAATACAATCATACGGTATCTGAGTCTACTAATGCCATGTGGCATGAGACAGTTATACAGTGGTCTTTATGTACAACATATGACTTGTATTTTATGAAATCGTTTTCATGTTCATTGCAGTGCTTGTTTAAATTAATGCGTACAAATATGTTTGTTAAAAACAAAATAGGTTGAAAAAAAAAATGTTCCCTTCAGTAGTTTCGGAAATACAAACTTGCACGCAACAGCACTTCCTATTCTACGAATTATCAAACTTAAAAGTAATTCAATCCATTTATACTTAAAAACCTATCTATTCAACAGCTAACAAAAGTTACATAAGAAAAGGATGGGAGTCGATACTGAATACTGCTGATTCAAATGTAAATTTAGACTCTGTCTTAAAACTGACGTGGCTTATAAGGAAGTTAATAGAGCTCTTTGCTATCTAAATATAAAATCTAAAATCTTTTTTACCTGTTGACTGTCTTTGTACTTGTGTAAGTGAGATTCTCTGACCACCTGACAATGAACTAACTGGCAAACCAATTGGAATTCGGTGTAACTAAAATATATAAAGGGAAATAACCAATAATATAAATTTCTTTATGATATTCAGTTAATTACTTTACTCAAAATAGCTTTCAACAGTTTGGAGATAAAATCAAATGAGCTGTGCCAACTTGAACAATAACGGACTGTAAGACTTTTCTTGTGCTATATGTACAATTAATAAAATTCTCCTTATTCATTTGAAGAATTCACTAAATTCAATCTTTTTTTCACATTTACACATTTCAAGACTCCATATCACACTTTTAAAAATATTTAAGCTTATATTACCACACAGATATACATACAATTCTATATTAAGCTCCATGATTACCATTATTATATTTACATATAACTGATTTTCCCTTACTTTGTTAAATTTTATAACACACTTGCAATACTTTGAATTTGACACATGGTAGTGCAAGCTGACCAACTCTACATTTCTGACAAAGGTTTGAATTAAAAGGATTGATTTAACTACAAGAGGATTGTGGTTGGCTTTACACAAAAATTATTTTATCTTCTATAATTATCTAAAATAAATTAAAGAGCATTAAGTCCAAAAAAATAACATTTTTAAGCAAAAAACAAAAGAATAAAAACCATTACTGTACCAATTTTTCTTCATTTTTTTGAATAAACATATTTCTTTGTTACAATGTATATAAACCAAAAATAATGATTTTACTTTTTTCTTATTGCTGACAAGTTTGTAATTTGGAGCCGAGAGACAATATCTGTCCGGAGGTAGCCGGGGACCAGTATATGGTTTGATCAGAGGAAGAGACTGTGAATTCTTGTGTCTGGCAATCTCCAGCAGTAGCTGAAATAAATAATTTACACAAATAATGATGTAACAATTAATTTTTTACATACCGGTAAACAATTTTGTGATACACAAAATGCTACAAAAACAGAATATAATTTAAATATGAAATAATTGTTTGAAGAAAAATATGTATTTACATATGCAAATAGTAACACCTGTATAAGACAAATTGAGATTTTGAAAAACTTAAAATCAATGACTGTATTTTTTTTCGTATGCTGGCTGAGAAACACTTCATAAATCAAAACCAAGGAATAGTTCCTATATGTAAAACATGATGCCCCTTTTGTTAACTATTAAAAAAAATTAATCTCTGGTGGGGTGTTGTGAAGGTGATCCCTCCTAACGGGCAGCTAATTTTACATCTTTTTTTTATACCTTCTTGTTGCCATGATTGAAAAGACCTTGGATCATTAAAAAATCTGTCCATAACCCGCAGATAGAAATTCAAACAATACAGAGGTACAGAAAATGTGAAATTCTTTAATAAACTTAGAATTTTTTGTGTGTATTTTTTAGTCTGATTTGAGTTAATATCGTTTGAACCCTTTTTTATTTTTGGGCCATTTCACAAAGATAAACTGATAAGTCTTGAAAAACAAATTGACTGTGAGCAAATTATCTATTATTTGACAGACAACGTCTGATAGACTTTCAAAGATCCTAAAAGCTCACCCCAAGCTAGCTCAGGTGTGCTAAAAAGTCACAGAATACCCTTGTCTCAAAAGCTTTAGATGGAGATGTGGGCGATAAGAAGTGTGGCAAGCATACATATACATACTAAAATATCATTTTTATCTGAAATTTTACCTCTCTGTGTGACTTTGACCTTGGTTGCAGTGACCTGGCTGAATTTTAAGTGCAAAACTCAGCCTAACAATGATGAAAATTTATATATAAATCCCTCAATGCATGTAGAAGTTTCAAAGACAATTTAAGTGTGACCTTCATTTTTGTCGTTATATCTGTTATAAATCTCTAAATGAGCTAGTAGTCCAACTAATTGTACTACACAATGAGTAGTCCAACTAATTAGACTTGTCAAAGAGACATCGAGATAACTTTGGACGGGCGATGTCTTTTTCCAACAGTAAGAAGAAAAAAAATTTGTAAAATGGGTCAAACCATTCACGCCGAATAAATTAGGCTGCACGATGAGAAAACTGTGCTACTTTGTGTAAGGACAATATCTCCTCTCTACAAACATAAGCGGTCGGCACATTTGTCTTGTCAATAATGGTCAAATTATCATAAAACAAGCAATTATCATAGTATTGCAAGCAATCCATAAGTCCCCTACCGGTTAGAACCCCATCAACATTCTGAAGGGCCATTGGCCATTCACTAATGTTTCAATTTTTCTCTATTTTAAGTAAATTTGTTGGAAAAGTTCTTTAAAAGTGATCACAGGAAACAGTTTTTATGAACAGACAGACAGACGGACTGAAGGACACTCTAAAGTTAATATTTGAAACATCCCTGTTACCAAAATATCACATTTTAAAAGCAAAATTCTTAAAGAGAAGATAACTCTTGAATTAAAGATGTAATTTCATAAAAATTTTCAGCTCTTTTTGACTAATCACAAATATTGTTATATTTGCCATGTTTTAAGCCTATTTGTTGCCAAGGCAACTGATATTTTTTCAAAATAGGAAGAACAGATAAGACATGCATAAGCTCAAGACTGCTATTTACCCATATGTCAAGTTTCATTACTTTTTGAGTTATCACTGGATCCAGTTTATGTGTAAAATTTGCCATAATTTCAGCCTATTTGTTGCCATAGCAACCAGAATTTTCAACATAGGAAGAAAAGAAAAAGACGTGTATAATCTCCATACTGCCATCTATCCATATACCAAGTTTCATAAAAATATTTTCAGTACTGTACTTTTCAAGTTATCGCGGGATCCAGTTTTGTGGACTGATGGACTGACAGACAGACGGACGGACGGACGGAGGGTAAACCTAAAGTCCCCTCCGGTAAACCGGTAGGGGACTAATAATCTGCCCTTTACAAGAACAAAATTACTATCGTGCACCCATTTCCTATATACAATATATATAAGCTACTTTTTCAAGTTCGATATTTATTTTTTGTAAATGAAGATAGATGGCTTAATCTTTTTAATGGCTGCTGTAAGATTGTGCTATGTTTGCATGTAGGTATCTTTAAAAAAATGCGAGAGCAAAATATTGGCCATGTTGGGAAACACGCATTACGCTATGGCAAGTTATATACCTTGCATATTTCATACGAGGAAGTCAAAGGCCGGGACTGAGAAGTGGATCGAATCGCATTGATTTTGATCTTCAAGTGTTCCGAGTGAAAACAGAAGCTGTGCATGAAATATTGAATGACACATTTAAAACGGAAAATTGAATGATTTTTAAACAGGCTGGTGAAAATGCCCAATCAGGCTGCAGTGTTGCATCTAGGCCGCGTGATTGCTCAATTTGAGCATCGCGCATTTTAATGAAGTCAATGCGCGCCAAGTCTCGCATCAAACGATCTTTTCAAAAAATTGTTTATGACATAAAAAATCATATTTCTAGTAAAATAATAGATTTCTTTTAAACTTTGTTTGTTTATTGAGCATAATATATAACATAAACAGAAATAAAAATATTTGGTAACTGTCACTTTTGAGAGAATTATTTCACATAATTTGTTCTTTCTGTTTATGTTAATATTTTGTTATACATTTAGCTTAAGGTCTTCAGCGTACCCGTTTATATATACGACATGACGTGAACGCTGAAGATAACCCCGTAGGGAAAGTCCACCAATAATCGTGCCAGGAATCTGACACGCTCGTATTTATTTATCGAACATGCCACGAAGTAAAGTGAAGCATACCTTGATAAAACGATATATAAACTGTTGATTAGCCAAGGATTGACAAATAAAAATCTTATTAGGAACATAAACTACCTAATAGTTTCCGACAGGTAAAAATTTCGGCACTTGGCCGCCATCTTGCCAAAATGTTTGACCACGTGATTACGAGATTGACCTTTAGGAACCCATGTGCCTCCAATATTTTTATAGATTACTTTTTTTTAAGATGTTGAAAAAGGTTATTTATTGACTGTTATATTCAATAAAATCATATTTAAATACTAAAAAATTTATGAAAATAAATAAAAACATTATCTTGAATAAAAATATCGAAATCATGTCAACAAAATGTTCTAAATATAGTACACAACTCTATTCAAATCTGTTCCCGCGAATGACGTCATACGAGGTCTCGCGTGGCACTTGAATGTCATGGCCGATTGTAGTCGGCGAAAATTTATGTTTTACAGTTAAATAGGCAATTTTAATGACGGTATTAATATTTTATTACTTGAATTGGTATAGAACGATATTTAAATAATTGTTTCACCGTCATATGCACAAGAATTGATCAGGTCAAGTGTATTTGCAAGTGAAAAACAAGAATAAATCAACTTATGTTATTCTGGTTAGGTTTCGTAACGGGACTAATCCAAAACTTTAATGCCGCATCTGATGAAAAACAAAAATGTTAAAAAGCGGCTTATAAAGTTTTGGAAGCCAGAACTATTATACATTATGCTCAATAAACAAACAAAGTTTAAAAGAAATCTCTTTATTATTATCCTAGAAATGTGATGTTTTATGTCATAAGCCTGATCGTATTCGGGCATTTTCACCAGCCCGTTTAAAGACTTCCCGGTTCATAGGCTTTGCCTAATTTCATATTTTATTTACAATAGCAATTGTGTTCTTTTTTATCAAGAGGAGATTATTTTTATGATAATTTGGACATTATTGGCATGACAAGTCCGAACGCCTGTGTATCCTAGAGTCATAAGTACAAATATATATATATTCATTGTATCTGTACAAGTTATATGCGCGATAATATAATTAAATAATCATAAAATATAATGGTTTGTCTCGTAAAATAATAATTATCCGGTTACCCGTACAGCTGTCAATTAGACGAATACTATAACACTATAATTTTAGTAAAATATTTCAAGTATTGATATCTTACGATAAGTGAATTCTAGCATTTGGTTTATGAGTCTTGGCTCATGCTCTGTGACGCCCATATCTTTCAATATAGCCGCCATAACCTGCGCATCTCGAGGCGAACTTTTTGCTGGAACTGCCGACATTTCCCCTGTTTTGGGTGTATAAAAAATTAATCAAGTGAACGGAATTTATGGGAAAAAAATCCATTGTACAAGCATCAAAGATGAATCGTTTCTTTAAAAAGTAAACAGATGGCCATTTAGGGGAAAATTATGTTGAATTCTAAGGAGAATATGTCTGAAAGCCTACAGAAATTATATTTTATTTCTTCTAACTATTTCGTCTAAAATAAATTTTGCATTTCATTTCTTCAGAAAAATATGGCCGACATGTCACACCTGCCAATTGTGGCAGGCTTGTTTTTGTTTGTTTTTCTGACTTGGAGGGATTTGTCAGGAACGGAACAGTCCTCACACGTACACAAAGACATCAAGGCCCCAAAACTAGCACAATTTGCTACCCCAACCATCAAGTTTTTATATTGGTAGGTCCGAAATTTTGACATTTTCATCTGTTCATTCTGTTCATAATTTTTCATGCATAATTTTTTATGGTAAAGGGTCAACTCGGCCCTATACCAATTCGGCACAGGTCAACTCGGCACAGGTCAACTCGGTCCTCTATTAAAAACATATATTAGGATATAGATTGTTTAGTTAATAAAAATTTTAAGGAGAAAATTACTATAAAATTTTTCAGAAATATGATCACTTACAAAAGTTGGCAGTGTACCTGTACAGTCTGTGCGAAAGTCTGTCGGTCCTCGGACCTCGCCAACTAAAAATCAGGAGGGCCGAGAAAATTTCGATACAGTCAGTCCTCATGTCCGAATAAAATTTCAGCCAGTTTGAAACAATTTTTGGCCAAAATATGCAAAACTGTTTTATTTATTATGTTTCTGTATATTTTTTTTCATAGTATCTTATAGTTGAGTCTGATAATTCATATTTGCTGAATATTTTTGATTATGATTATGGCAATATCCCTCCCCCACCCCTACAAAAAATACCTTTCAGAGTCCGGGCCGCAAAAAAACCATCAGGGCCGGAAATAAATCTAAGGATCCCAGTCCTTGTGGCTGGAAAAAAATTTTGACTTTCGCATTGACTGCAGTGTACGCATTGTTTGAAATTATCTTTGTTAAGAAGAGATATCAAGACTATATATGTTAAATATTGATCAATAAATAGAGTTTTTAGATTGAATTTTTGTGACAATAAATGTAATTGTATTTAATACTGTTTATTCTTTAATACAACAAATGCTTTTTTAACGATATTTTTTACAAAAAATCTGGAGTAGCAAAACATGCAGTAAAGGGAGAGAATAGTATGTCATTCCCTTTGTTTACCAGTTGTAACTATATAAGGAAAAAACAGACTTCCCGAAAGTTGAAAAAAACTGTCAGACATTCGGTCTGACAAACCATGAAAATCTGTCGGACCGAAACGAAATCTGTCGGACCAAATAAAATTGATCAAAATCAAAGAATGACTTGTGTTTGTATTTCTAAGACACTTTTTGTTTTTATTTTTTTCGCCGTAAAAATCGGCACATTCCTTACAGCGCATTTTCATCTCCTCCCTATCATACACCAACGATTCACTGTCTTGCTTCTATTTTTCATTAAATTTTGTCTCGGGTCTCTTCTTTTTATCCTTTTACTGCTGTTTTGCCTGTTCCTCTGACGTAGATTTTTTATTTTTCCGAGGTTTGGCACCTTTAGCGACGCCATTTTGTATACATGCGGCTTGGATAAAAGCCGGACAGTCGGACCGATCCGGAATAAAAACTCGTCGGACCTGATAAAAATTTATCGGACATGTCCGTCGGACCGACGTATTTCGGGAAGTCTGAAAAAAAGGCTTGAATTTAAGAACAATAGACTTAATAGTTAATATATAATTTGTTTTTATTTCAGTTATTCCTGAGGGTACCGGAAAGTCTTTGAGCAGTATTCACATGTGCTGAATGAGAAGTTCCCACATTTCAGTGTAGAAGGAGATAATTACCCTCCTCCACCAATGCGGCAACTTTTTGCTCAAGGACTTGGTATTCTTAAAATTATCATCATTGCTATGGTCGTCCTCGGCCAGAATCCATTCCCTCATCTTAACATTGATACCCCAAGTATCTTCACTTGGGCAGTGGAGAACAAAGTAAGTATATGTTCCTTCAGGACTTATTTTTACCCTTGGAAGAGGCCCTTCCCTTAACTTTGGCTGAAAATAACACATTATTGTTTTTTTCTTGCAAATGGGGTAGAAAAACCTGATTTAAATTTAATTTAGGGATTTGAAATAAAACTTCTTTTGGGGAAAAAAGCCTCGATGTTTAAATCTATCATAATATACATGTTGTTAAATTTTTTATGTAAGCTATTCTTGTATTTTTTCAGTCTGTGTTGAAACTGGACCTTTTTAATTGGGAAAATTAGAGTTGTAATGCCATTATTTGTGAAAATACTCATAATGATAGAAACTGTTTCAGCTATTGTATATCTATTAAATGGGGGAAAAATTTGTGTTTAAATCAGGAAAGTGTCATAGTTTAATATCTCTGTTCTCAATAACTACAGGTTTGTTGATTTTTTTCCCATACATACTCTGATTTAAGTTTCATTTTATACAAATTAACAGTTATCAAAATTTTTGCTAAACTGGGCCACAATTAAAAAATTCCTTGTTTGCTGTCTCCCGACCCTGACTTGAAAGTTAGGGTAGGTAGGTAGGCAGAATATTTTTTTTTATTTTATGACTCTCCAAAGTTATCTCTATGTTCATAAGAAAGCAAAATATGCTGTAAACAGACTGTTCAAAACTTAAACTTATGTTCTATATCATCTCTTTTCCTCATAAAAGAACTTTATTTTGCTTTGAAAATTGTTTGTTCCTTATACGAGTTTGAGCTAAATGACAAAAAAAACATTTCAGCTCAGGAGGCAATAAAAACTTTTGGGTAGGGCTGATTTTTAAAGGTTCGGTAGGGAGACAGCAAACAAATATATTTTTAATTCTGGCCCTGTGTAAAAAAGATGCTTTTTACCATTGAGAATGTGAGTGAAATTGGGTCATAAATCTTCATAAGTATTCAACAATACACAAATCAGTTATTCACTCAGGAGTTAAACATGTCAGAATAAAGTATCAAAACATTTTGAAATATATTTTCATACTGTATTAAATTTTGTTAATAAAAACTGCTTGTTTTGATCACCTTGTAAACAAGAGTGACTGTTTGTTTAATTTTTTTTTGTTTAATTTTTCAGTTGTATGCCTGTCTGATGATATTTTTCGTCAGCAATGCCATTGAAGGACAACTTATATCCACAGGGGCCTTTGAAATATCTTTTAATGGTAAGATCATTTTGATATATACATGTATAATTGCATTTGTTTTATTAACTAGCCAATACGAGTGTTTATATCTGTTTCAATGAGTCAGTACATTGGGTAATTAACTTGACTATTCAAGGAATAGTAGAGCTATCCTTCTCACTTGTGCATCATCAGAATTATTGTTAGCAGTACACTTTTGTTAAAATTTTGCATGCAGCTTCATATCCATCAATCACTTACAATATTTGATTGTAACTTCACATACTTATTTGAGAGCATAATAGGAGGTCACTTTCCAAGGCTTATAACCTCTAGTGTAATCTTTGACACTTTTTGAACTTAGAATCTTCTTTGTTAAAGTTTTGCATGCAACGTCAGTCTTCAAAACTACCAATGGTTTCCACTTGAAACTATATACAGGTCTTTGTAATCATAACCGGAGGTTACTTTCCAAGTCCAGTAATTCTGAAATGGATTTTGACAGAATTATGACTGTTTTTGAATTTAAAGGCTGTTTTTGAACTTAGATTGTTTTTGAACTAAAAATGCTCTTGGTTAAAATTTTGCATGCAACATTAATAAGGTATTCACTTGACTACTAATAAATTGCTTCAGGATTACAATTGGAAGTTTTATTTCCAAGGCCCATAATTCTAGTATGGGCAATGACAGAATTATAGGCCTTTATGAACTTAGAACATTAATTGGTTTAAGTTTTCTGGCAACATTTCAGTTGAACATTTATCATAGAGATTCTGATTGTATTCACATGAAACTTGATTCATGCTTTTTTAGTTACAATACAGGGTCACTTTCCAAGACCCATAACTCTTGCATGGATTTTGAATGAACTATGGCCCCTTTGTGAACTTATAATAACAAAATTCATTGGTCCATATCCAAGACTTTATTTCATGTACATTATTATATATTTAATATAATAGTTTTGTTAATTGTTATGATATCCAGGATCATGTTAATTTTTATGTTAAATAAAGAAATAATAAACTTTTTATCCGATGTATTTATTACTAGTTTAAGATGTTACAAGATTCAGACATTTAATGCACAAAAGTTCCTCCAATAGGGAATTAAATGACATAAATTATATGCAAAGTTTACAGTTGTAATAGGGGTACTTGAAATATGATATAGTCCAGACTGAGGTTTCCTCTGTAATTAATTCTAAATCATTTTGATATAATACAAGGGTAAGCTTGAAAGAGAAGGACAACTTTTTCAAAGTTTTAAAACAGTTTAGTTCTATTTCGTTTCAGATGTGCCAGTTTGGTCAAAATTAGAAACTGGAAGAATTCCAAATGCTGGAGAAATGTTTCAAATTATTGAGAATCACATGCGATTTGGACAACCTTCAGGCAACACCTAGCTTTTGTGAGTCTTTATTTTTGTATTAATTTCATTTTAGTTTTGCATCCTTGAGATAAAAAAGTTACAGTGACAAATTCTTAGTTGTAAAATATACATATTGAGCTTTAAGTTTAAAGTGTTCAAAGAAATTTGTAAGTGCAATTGTTTATTGCATTACTCATATTTAAGTGGATGTTTTTCTCTTTTGTGACTGTAACCCTTAAAAAGTGGTGTGTGCAGTCTCTTTGTCTTACTCACGATAGATATAAGTTATGTATGTAACTTGGTTTAATTGTTATTTTAAAAGGATGGATTTTAAATAAAATATACCTGTAGATAAATTGGCTTGAATTCATTTTTTTTTATTAAAAACGTTAATTAGTAAGGGCTTTTGATATAATGTATGTATTTTTTTTCTTTAATATTTTATGCAAATTTTTTGCCCCAAAATATATTTTGTTTTTACCCCCCCTTCATTACATTTATAAGAAGGAAAACAAAATGATTTTATCTCCAGTGTACAAAAATATGTTTTGTTATTCTATTAATATATGAATGTAATATATTTATTTTCAGTTCCACAGTCCACCATCATCCATATAGCCTCATTGTGTCTTTCATATGAAATATAATTACTTCCCTTGATTGGAGCAGAGTAACTTCCCCTTGTATCAACAGATGGCGTACCTCAAGACACTGATTAATGATGGCGTTTGTTTCAAGCTACTCAGGGTAGCTAACTCTCGCTGGATGTAGACATCAGAATGATCTTCAGGGACGCTGTTTCCTCGATGAAGGAGCTGTTTTTCTCATCTGATCTAGGGATGATTTTCTGTGTTCATCACCTCATATTTTAAATGCATTATACAAATTTGTTATATACATTTATTTATGTTTTTTTTTTTAATTAAAGAAACTGTTGTTATTTTTTTTGCCAACAGGTCAGTTACCTTTTTTATATGAACACTCTAATCCACTTTCGCTGCAAATACAGTTTTGCTTGAATTTCCTTTTATAATTAAATATAGTTGTATATATATATAGATACTGGTAAATGTTTGTTGTAAATAATTATGTATGTGTGGTGTGGTTGTGTTTATGTGGGTCTTATAATCCACTAATGGTCTGTCACCAATTTATTATTTTCCTACTTATTTTTTAGCCGTAAAAAAATAACGAAAAAAACAACCCAAATATACAGGGTATAGTTCTTGTTATCTAGTTATTGTTGTACCAAAGAAATTAAAAGAAAGTTCTCTTTGAATTTCATATTTAAAGAAAAAGTTTTATACAGTATTTATCATATAAACTAAAGTGCAGGGGTGAAGTAAAGCGATTTTATAAAAAACAATATTACTCTAGCGTAATAGCATTTTGACACAACATTATTTGCAACATATATACAAACATAGTGTTTAAGACTTTAAGTGCACTGATATTAGTATTACACTATAGGCATCTTGTAAGCGTTACACTGTAGGGACCTAAAGTGTAACGCTAACATAAGGGCATGTCAATCAAAAATGTATCTTTTTTTAAATGTAAACCGTTACTATTATGGAAATGCGATAAATACAATATTATATTTGTATAGATTCAATACTAAATTTATTGAACTTGTTGAATAAAACAATATGGTCACAAGGCTTAACATGATTTTATTCAACCTTTCCCCAAATTCTATTAATTTTTATAAAATCCTTATATTAAAACCACCTGTACCACAGTTCTAAAAGTTTTCATGAAAAAAAAATTATTAAAGCAATTTTTTATGAAGTTATTTTTACTTTTAGTGTTTTGTCTATGTGTTTTAGAAATTGCAATGAAATTTAGAATTTTTCATATCTTAAAAAGTTGCTAGTTAACATTTAGAAACTGATTTCGATCATTTTTCATCCAAATTTGGTAATTTGTAAACATGTAGTAAAATTATATGTGTAAATATATGAGAAGTTAGTAAAAAAAATTCATTCCATCATTACTGGAACCAGGAGTACTTCAGTGTTGTTATATTTTTCTAGTCCTTTGGGATCATTGATTAAGTGTTGGGAATTGAGTACCGCTCAAGCCGGTGCTAAGGGGCGTGAGGGATGTTGCACTTATTCATTATCCCTCATGTGCAGACTCAATCAAACCAAGTGTGCAATTTTCAAGTAATGTTGTTGTGATTAATGCTTCCAAAGGATCACTTTGTTTCTAGATTTTTATCATATTATAGAGACAGTACTACTAGCACTTAAGAACTAAATTATGATACAAAATGTTGAATGTGTTTTATTCAGTACTCGATGATGTGTTTTTAACAGTATCTATATGGCATTTTAAAGCAGCACGCCTCCAGATTCATGCTAATTTTCATGAAAATTTGAAAATGTAATTCAAAGTATAATATAGTAAATTTACCAAGAGTGCAATTTACACATGATCAATGGCACCTACAAAGCATGTAAATTACCAAAAAGAGGTCAAAATATATAGAAATAGCTCTTACTGCATTAGTAACGCAGTAGATCTAGTAATCCAGTTATAAATGCTGAAAAATAGGTCATTAATCGCACATAACATGTAAACTATTACTAGAATTTTGAATCTCTAAGTTTCCTAAAATCTTAATCGATTTTTCTTAGGTTTGATTTTATTAAAATATTTTTGCTCATCTGGAGGCGTGCACTTTAATACTATTTGTATTTAGTGTAACCAGTGTTCTCTGAACTTTCAGTTCCAACAAGAACAGATTTTTAATTCATATGAAAACAAAAACTTCATGTAATTTTACCCAGGTGTCTTAAAGACCTTGCTCTGTGGGGATTCAGTAGTTTTAGTTAAAATGACCTCTTATATCAGCTCACAACCACTAGTCAAATGTTAAAATTTATGGGATTCAGTGATCAAAAGATAAATCTAGAGTGATATCATTTTGGTTGAAGTCATTATTTGCTACACAATGTTATAAACATGTACAATGTATAATATTCAAGTATTTTCTTTATTTACTGAACTTATAAATGAATAACTGTTTGATTTATCGATTATTCTAGATTTATTTATACAGAATTAGCATTTTTGTTACCTTTATACTTGCTTAATTTTCTTTATTTATTAGCTTGTCTGTTTCACAAAAATAGTCGAGCTATTATGATCCCTGTGACTTCGTAATTGTACAAAACTTTAATGTAGCTTATAATTCAAACATTTTAAAGTTATCAACATAAAACTTGGAATACTTGCTTATCATAACAAGGGGTATCATTCTGAATGCAGTATTTTTGGAGTTATTACTCCTTTTCAACTAAAATTTTTAACAGATGAGCATTAACACTTCATGCCATGCTTATGTTTTAAAGATTTATAACTTTACATATAAAGCCAGAAATAGTAAAGGTGTTTTTTAAACCTTGGCCTGCTGGGCAGTAAAAGATTCAATCAATGCAACCAATACAGACCTAGATCAGCGGGCACATGTTGGTCATCTGATTATGGTTAACACTGTTTTCTATCTAGTCGAGACATATTCAGTCATCGAATTTAGCACTGACCCGGTGGCCAATGGCTGGTGAAAATTAGTTCGGGGCCAGTGAAAATTTAGTTAAATATATAATAGAATGAATTCAAAACTCGAATTTGGGCTAGTAAATTCAAAATCTTATATTATTGACTGCATAATGTGAAATTTGCTATAAAAATGATGAATGGTTTTGTCCAGATTGAAAGATGGACAAGTCCATATATGATACAAGATATTTAGCATGGTAAAGGCTAAGGTTTATTGCCTTTGGATATACCAGTATATTGTTGTCACATGCTCTTATTTAATCATAATGACTAATGCATTTTGTGATTGAATAGATATGCAATCATCTGAATTTATGATGTTCTCTGCATTATACAACCAATCAGTTCCTGTTGATTTGAATTTATACATTGATTGTGTAAAGAAAGAAGTAATAAAACTAAGTTGAAATGGTTCAGAGTTGTCATCCCTTAGATTGTGTTGTTTTTAGCTTGACTTTTTCTAACAGATTAGTCCTGTTAAACTGCAGATATCAAGAGTGTTCATTAGGTCACTGCTTATGGCTGCGCCCGTAACCTAAAATGGTATTTGCTAAATTTTTTTGGTATATCTTTGTGATAAACTTATACATGTACCATATTTCAGCCAAATATTTTTCTTTTCAAATGGTAAATTTTTTATTTATTGTTGCTCTTGTACTTTTCCCCAATATGCTTGCAAAATTTGCAACACAAGTGTAACTGCATTTAAAAAAAAAAATATTACCACATAGAAAAATATCTGCAAGCATAATGGGAAAAGTAAAGGAGCTACAAAAGAGTTATTTACCATTGAAATCAGCAAGTGCTTACCTGGAACGTAGTACATGTTTATTATTCAAATACCGAGATATAATGAAAAAGTAGCAAAATACATTTCAGTTGCCAGTCATAAGTAATGACCCAAGGTTATAATCAACTAATGTCACCCACCCCGAGATATGTGCATACAAATGATTCGATAGAATCATTTATTATTATGAACCAAGATTATTCTCCATATCAAATTAAACATATTTTTTATTTTGTAACTTTCGATTGGGATTTTTTCCTGTGGATTGTGAAAATAATATACTATTTTCAATTGGGAATATGAACCAATATTGGCAATAAGGTGAGCCCCACAAAAATCCCAGGAGATTTTAATTTATTTAAACTACACTTGAATCTTCTTCAAGCAAATAACAATCACTGGTGTCCAAGCAGGAAAACATGGTTGTGACCTCAGTAGTAGGTGGACCTACATGTATGATCAAGAGACACCTTCGCCACCTACGTCATTGGTCCATATTCTATTGTTTATCCTATTTTCTAACAATGGTGGAATTAAAACAAAGCTGTTTTCATTTAAAGCATTTATTTACTTATTTCTTGAATATAACAGTTGATGAAAAGAGCAATAAATACATAGAAATCATAAATTTCAAATTTCCCTTTCAAAACTGGTTCACAACAGTTTTATATTTCATATAATATATAACATCTCAGTCCTTAACATTCTGTCATGACTAATCTTATTGGTCCACCAAAAAGTAAAGTCCTAAACTTAATTTGAAATTAAGTTTCAAATATATTTTAAGTTGCTTATTCACCTACCAATATAGAATCAACAGAACAGTTTAATCAGACTGTGAAGACATGTTGGCCTGGCCTCACTTTAAAATGGTTGAACATATTATTACCATCACAAGTATTAAAAGGCCTGAAGTTATAGAAAACTTTATATACAATACAATAAATTATACAATAAATCTATATTTTTCTCCAATAATTTCTCTGTATGTCAGACCATCAATATCGTATTAAACTGAACATGCATCCATTTTTAAAATGCTTAAATTCAATTTGATTAAATGTCATATCGCAAATTAAATTGGTATACTGCTGCTAAACACTGGCATTTCTTCAAAATTTCCATTATAATATTACCCAAATTATAGCACTATGCACATTAACACTTTACAGAAAGAATTCCAGACTTGTACTTTTGAACACAGTTCAGCCCTAGTTCACTAGTATTTCCAGATATTGTTCTTTGTTGTACTATCATTTACCTGGTGAACAAAATTGCTTCATCAGAACAGAACAGAGCGCCATCAGCTGGAGAAATTCATCGGCACCGTCCATCAAACATTTGTCCACAACCTGAAATATTGTAACATTTTATCAATGATCCTGCTTCAATTTGTTCCTCTTGTTCTCAACCTTTTGTTACCAGTCATAAAGCCGATCAGACCATGCTCTATACTGTTAGTAGCTGGATTTTACTATCCAGATACTGAACTTCCTAATAAAAAGACTTTACCAAACTCTTATCAAGGCAATTCTATTCAACAAGCTGAAGATGTTCTGGAGAAATTCTATGTATATCTGGGTTTTTGACTTCTACTGGATACAAGGTAGTATATAATTTTGAAATTTCTATTATATACAGAATGTCTTGCACATGCTCTATCACTTCAATTATTATAAATAATGCTTATTTAAATATATTCCAACTATTTAAACATGACTTGTGATACAATTAATTTACTTACAGCAAGTTTTTCCATGACGACAGATTTAGGTGTGTCCTCTAATTCATCAAGCTGAACCACTCTGTCATGTAACTGTAATATCAACTGAGATGCCGAGTGTCCCTCGTTCATTATATCCTGAAAATTCAACATGTTTTAAAGTCATAAAAGACGATTCATTAATATAATGAAATCCATATCACATTAGATCTGGAAGCTTCAAATTTTAACTTAATATCTAAAGTAGTGTTTATAACCAAGAAAGCAGAAATTATATTTGGCAACATGTTCTACTCATTAGAAGGTTCTTTGATATTTTTATTTTGTTTAATGTTTTACATCGCACACAGTATAGGTGATATGGCGACTTTCCAGCTTTACTGGTAGAGGAAAACCTCGGGTGCACCTTTGTCAGACTGTGCATTATTTCAGACACAAAACGGGCATCAGAGAAGAACCACCGATATTGTGTAAACCAGCTGGATAGCAAGTTGTTTGAAGTGAAGGGCCCAACCACTCCCCCACTTTTAAGTATAGTTTAAACCTTGGCTGTGGCACATGATTTTCAGTACAGTACAGGGCTTTCCTAACGATAAGCTTTCTCCATAACTTGTGCAGTTCCTGTGAAGAAGTTGTCAGTTGGATGATTAGCAGGCTACAACACATACAGAGTCTCACAAAATATTCTAGGTAACAACCTATCATTATGAGAATGATGATATACTGAAACACTTTTACTGAACCCAAACAAAGGAAAGCGAAGGTTGTGTGATTTCAAGATCAAGTACACTTATTCTTTCACACACTTACTTGAACACAATTTTGAAGTTTTTCGTAGGAATTGGAGTGGCACACTGTCAAAAGATTGTCAATGACATCATCATGTATTACCTGTAATTGTAATTAAATCTTGTCCAATTTCAATATCTCTCACAAAAATCTCTACACTTTGATTTAAACATTCTGTATCAAATCTTAAATTTGGGAATGTTGATACAAAAATAAGCAGTTGACAATAAGCTTCTGCAGAGCTAACATAGAAAATAGATACACGTAAAATGTTAATGTATTTCTTAATTCAGGAGTAATCAAATAATATTGCAATAAATTACTTTACATGAATAATTGGAAATAAGTCCCAATTGTTCTTTTAAGTATATTCTTACATTAAGAACTTCAAGGAAACAAGATTGCATTTGAGAAAAATGCTATGCCACCACATTAATACAACACCAAATAGTAGTGTAGGAACAGATTTTTTTTGTTTCTATACAATTTTGAAGATTGTCATAAAGCATAGATCCCTGACCTATCTTATTCTTATTATCAGATTAGTGGTTAAATATGTTGTTAACTCAATAAAAGATCAAAGTAGGAATATATCAATGCTGAAGGTCATATTTCACACAGCTTAAATTTCATGACCACATCAAAAGGACAACACAGTAAGAAACTTTGTCAAAATCTAGGTCAGCTGAATAAAAAAGTTCACTTTACATCTTAATCTGTGCACATGGTTCAAATTTCATAGCTGTACATCAAAGGACAAGAAAGAAGGTCACATCAACAAAATCTAGGTCACCTGATATCAAAGTTCAATTTTATAACTAAAACTGTGCACTTGGTCAAAATTTCATTGCTGTACATCAAAGGACAAGAAAGTAGGTCACTGTCCCCTTGGGCAAGGCAAAATTTGGACCAAGGGTTTAATTCAAAACAATCTTGATACAGGTCCACCAAACATTCATTTCAAGTCAAATATCTAAGCTGTAAGCTTTCTCCCATTCAGAAAACATTATTTTGTTTTATTTTCTGTTTTTACTATGTGTACATAATGAGAATCACTGCCCCCTGGCAGGGCCAATTTTGACACCAGGGGAAAAATTTGAACAACTTTAGTAGAGGACCTATAAATGATTTTATATAGCAAACATCAAAGCTCTATGCCTTGTACCTTCAGACAAAAATATTTTTTTATTTTTTTACTATATGTACATAATGAAAATCAATGACCCCCTGGGCGGAACCAATTTTGACCCCAGGGCTATAATTTGAACAATCTTGGTAAAGGTTCACTTCCCAAAGTCTCATGCCATATATTTAACCTCTAGCCTTTGTCAATTCAGAGAAGAAGATTTTTCAATTTTTTTACTTTATACATATAAAGGAAAATATCGCCTCTGGGGCAAGGCAATTTTAATACTAGGGGCATAATTAAAACAACTTTAGTAGAGGACCCATAGATGATATTATATACCAAATATCAAAGCTCTAAGCCTTGTACCGTCAGACAAGAGGATTTTTAAATTTTTTACTATATGTACATAGTGAAAATCAATGACCCCTGGGGGTGGGGCCAATTTTGACCCCAGGGCTATAATTTGTACAATCTTGCTAGAGGTTCACTACATAATGTTTCATGCAAAATATCTTAACTCTAGTCTTTGTAAATTTAAAGAAGATGATTTTTTAAGTTATTACTTTATACATTTAAGGAAAACCTATGGCCCCCGGGCGGGGCTAATTTTGACACTAGAGGCAAAATTTGAACAACTTTGGTAGAGTTCCTATGAATGATGTCATTTAACAAATATTAAAGCTCTAAGCCTTGTACCTTCAGACAATAAGATTTTTTACTATATATATATATTGAAAATCAATGACCCCTGGGGCGGGGGCAATTTTGACCCCTGGGCTATAATTTGAACAATCTTGCTAGAAGTTCACTTCACAATGTTTCATGCAAAATATCTAACCTCTAGCATTTGCCAATTGCTAGAAGAAATTTTTTAAAGTTTTTACTATAAGTTTTTACTATATACATATAAGGAAAACCAATGACCCCCCCGGGCGGGGCCGATTTTGACCCCAGGGCTATAATTTGAACAATCTGGATAGAGGTCTACCAGACAATGCCTTATGCAAAATATCTAAGCTCTAGGCCTTTTGGGTCTTTACAAGAAGGTATTTTAAGTTTTTACTATATGTACATATAGTGAAAATCAATGACCCCCGGGGCAAGCTGATTTTGACCCTAAGGCTATAATTTGAACAATCTTGGTAGAGGTCTACCAGACAATGCCTTATACAAAATATCTAAGCTCTAGGCCTTTTGGGTCTTTACAAGAAGGTATTTTAAGTTTTTACTATATGTACATTTAGTGAAAATCAATGACCCCTGGGGCCGAACCAATTTTGACCCCAGGCCTATAATTTGAACAATCTTGGTAGAGGCCTATCAGACAATGCCTTATGCAAAATATCTAAGCTCTAGGCCTTTTCAGTATTTACAAGAAGGTATTTTAAGGTTTTACTATATGTACATATAATGAAAATCAATGACCCCCGGGGCGGGGCCGATTTTGACCCCAGGGCTATAGTTTGAACAATCTTGGTAGAGGTCTACCAGACAATGCCTTATGCAAAATATCTAAGCTCTAGGCCTTTTCAGTCTTTACAAGAAGGTATTTTAAGGTTTTACTATATGTACATTTAGTGAAAATCAATGACACTCGGGGCGGGGCTGATTTTGACCCCAGGGCTATAATTTGAACAATCTTGGTAGAGGTCTACCAGACAATGCCTTATGCAAAATATCTAAGCTCTAGGCCTTTTGGGTCTTTACAAGAAGATTTTTTAAATTTATTCTTTTAATTCCTTTTGGTTGCCATGGCAACCAGATTTCTGCATGGAATGCAATTCTTTGAACAACTTTGGAACCCCTTCACCCAAGGATCAATCCTGCCAAGTTTGGTTGAAATTGGACTCGTGGTTTTTCACAAGAAGATTTTTTAAGTTCACTATATAATCTATATAACACACACACACACAAACAAACACACACATACACACAGGTGAATCGCTATATGCCACCGCATCGCAGATGCTGCGGTGGCATAAAAATTAAATTGGATCAGTAAAGCAGACAAGACATGAGATTTGAACACTAGACTGACAGTTTATTTCAAAATCTAAAATGTATAAAATCTCCATGCTTTAAAATCTAAAATGTATAAAATCTCCATGCTTTATTTTTATGCCACCGCAGCATCTGCGATGCGGTGGCATATAGCGATTCACCTGTGTGTGTGTGTGTTTGTTTGTTTGTTTGTGTGTGTGTGTGTTATATAGGTTATATAGTGAACTTCAAAAATCTTCTTGTGAAAAACCACTAGTCCAATTTCAACCAAACTTGGCAGGATTGATCCTTGGGTGAAGGGCTTATAAAGTTGTTAAAAGAATTTCATTCCATGCAGAAATCTGGTTGCCATGGCAACCAAAAGGGATTATAAGAATAAATTTAAAAAATCTTCTTGTAAAGACCCAAAAGGCCTAGAGCTTAGATATTTTGCATAAAGCATTGTCTGGTAGACCTCTACCAAGATTGTTCAAATTATAGCCCTGGGGTCAAAATCGGCCCCGCCCCGGGCACATTGATTTTCACTATATGTACATATAGTAAAAACTTAAAATACCTTCATGTAAATACCCAAAAGGCCTAGAGCTTAGATATTTTGCATAAGGCATTGTCTGGTAGACCCTTACCAAGATTGTTCAAATGATAGCCCTGGGGTCAAAATCGGCCCGCCCTGGGGGTCATTGATTTTCACTATATGTACATATAGTAAAAACTTAAAATACCTTCTTGTAAAGACCCAAAAGGCCTAGAGCTTAGATATTTTGCATAAGGCATTGTCTGGTAGACCTCTACCCAGATTGTTCAAATTATAGCCCTGGGGTCAAAATCGGCCCCGCCCCGGGGGTCATTGATTTTCACTATATGTACATACAGTAAAAACTTAAAATACCTTCTTGTAAAGACCCAAAAGGCCTAGAGCTTAGATATTTTGCATAAGGCATTGTCTGGTAGACCTCTACCCAGATTGTTCAAATTATAGCCCTGGGGTCAAAATCGGCCCCGCCCCGGGGGTCATTGATTTTCACTATATGTACATATAGTAAAAACTTAAAATACCTTCATGTAAATACCCAAAAGGCCTAGAGCTTAGATATTTTGCATAAGGCATTGTCTGGTAGACCCTTACCAAGATTGTTCAAATGATAGCCCTGGGGTCAAAATCGGCCCGCCCCGGGGGTCATTGATTTTCACTATATGTACATATAGTAAAAACTTAAAATACCTTCTTGTAAAGACCCAAAAGGCCTAGAGCTTAGATATTTTGCATAAGGCAGTGTCTGGTAGACCCTTACTAAGATTGTTCAAATGATAGCCCTGGGGTCAAAATCGGCCCGGCCCGGGGGTCATTGATTTTCACTATATGTACATATAGTAAAAACTTAAAATACCTTCTTGTAAAGACCCAAAAGGCCTAGAGCTTAGATATTTTGCATAAGGCATTGTATGGTAGACCTCTACCCAGATTGTTCAAATTATAGCCCTGGGGTCAAAATCTGCCCGGGGCGGGGGTCATTGATTTTCACTATATGTACATATAGTAAAAACTTAAAATACCTTCTTGTAAAGACCCAAAAGGCCTAGAGCTTAGATATTTTGCATAAGGCATTGTATGGTAGACCTCTACCCAGATTGTTCAAATTATAGTCCTGGGGTCAAAATCGGCCCCGCCCCGGGGGTCATTGGGTTTCCTTATACAGTCAAGACTGCCTTAGCGACCCCCTGATTTAAACGACTCCCTGTCTTATCCAACCTTGTTTCAGTCCTCCCAACGTATTTTCCTATATAAATGGTCTGAATTAAAAGACTCCCTGTCATATGTGACAAGCGACCCTAATTGTCTGGTCCCAGTGCGATGTTTGGTCTGATTTAAACGACTTTCACACCTTTTAATTGTCCGTTAATAAGATAATTTATACCTATTATAACACCCAGAGGGCCAAAATAATTAAGTCCAATTTTAATCCAGTAGCAAACAAAGTCTACACATCTCTATCTCAATTACACAGTATACATGCAGGTATCAAGTGACGTAGCATCTGTTGATGGGAAGCATGATGCAATCGATATGTGTGAAATGTACATAAAGTAAACTGGGTTAAGGCTTGTGTTAGAATTTTTTTTTAATTATAGAGTGCCCACGGAAGATTTTTTAGGCAACATTTTTTTTAATTTACCTTTCTATGGCTGCATAATTAATACGGAAAAAATATTGATACCAAACCAGAAAAAGCTTTGGATATGGATATGTAACACAATTTTTTCATGGTTTTATTTCATAAATATGATGCTCAAATTAAGATTTGTCAATATTGTAAGTTCAAATAAGCATGATTTATAAAGATATCACCCAATTTAACATTTCATGTAAATAATGCCATTAAAGGGAGGTAATTAGAACTTTATTTTCTTTAAATTCATGGTCAAATTTTCCAATACGAAATCATTGCATGTAATTTATTGATTAAATATAATGTGCACAAATATTTGCAGTACACATTTTACATATTCTTTGATGTTGGAAAATTGTTTTATTTGCATAATTATATCCATATATATATATATATATATATTTTGCTAGTGTTGTAAACAGACAATATCAATCACAAAACATACAGGATCTTTATGATCAATCACAAAACATACAGGATCTTTATGTCACAATGATATATAGACAGATAGATGATATTTAAATTTAATTTTCTTTGAGACTGTATTAAGAGACTCCCTGTCATATGTGACCTTTTTCTGAAGATCCCTTGGAAATTCACATATGACAGTCTCGACTGTATGTATATAGTAAAAACTTATAGTAAAAACTTTTGAAAAAAATTTCTAGCAATTGACAAATGCTAGAGGTTAGATATTTTGCATGAAACATTGTGTAGTGATATCAGCTGACCTAGATTTTGACAAAGTGTCTAACTGTGTTGTCCTTTGATGCAGTCATGAAATTTAGGCTGTGTGAAATATAACCTTCACCACCAAATTCACTAGACTCAAGTGCATTGATATATTCCTACTCTGATCTTTTATTGGATTAACAATAGATTTAACCGCTAATCTGATAATAAGAATTAGATAGGTCAGGGATCTATGCATTATGACAATCTTCAATTGCATAGAAACAAAAAAAAAATCTGTTCCTACACTACTATTTAGTGTTGTATTTATGCGGTGGCATAGCATTTTTCTCAAATGCAATCTTGTTTTGTTTGAATTTTAAGTTACATTGTTACTGAAAAGGCCATATGGCCACTTTGTTCAGCTATAGTGGTTGAGGAAGATTTCTGTCTATATTCCAGGCACCATTCCTTTCTCAAACCAGCTTAATAGCTTCCACACAGACAAAAATCCAATGATTTGAACCCATAGCAGCATGGGCTTATGGTGTAATTTGACCTGAACCACTTCACTAATGGACACCGGATACTTTCTTGCTCTTGCTTTAAGATTACAATCATGAATACTAAAGATATGTCTAAGCAAGAATTTACTGCACATAATGCTCTGTTTAGTTTGGACAAAATCCTTGAATCACACAAAGTTCTTACCCCTGCAATTTCATAAATATCTGTTTTAGTAATTGTGTCCCCTGCCTTTAATCTTGAAGCACTCTGTAGAAATGTAATGGCTTTACGAAGGTCACCCTCTGATGTGTCCAGCAATCCTTTCAGAGCCTTGAATGACAATATAACTATGCATTAGCTACTTAAATATTAAACTTTAATATCTAGACAAAATCTTATGAAATTCATAATATTAGTGCACCTAAAAAATTTTCAATTTTAATTATTTCAAATTTTTTTTTCATTTAATCATTTGTAACTTAAATTTGGGTTATTACATCCCAAAGAAACCTAGTACATGAAAATTTGTAGTACATATAATAAGGAAACTAAAAAGTCCATGTATTTAAATTCTTATAGGACTGAATATTAAAATTCTTATGGTACTGTAATATTCCACGATTCATGCCAAGGATCACAAACTATATCAGCTAGTATCTGAAACTGGGAGTGAAATTTATTTAGTTTTACTTGATTTTAAACCATCTTAGTAAGATATAAGAAACCTTTTGAACCTAGGGGCCTTGAACCTGTGACCTTTAATTTGTGCCTTGCAGAAAGACCTTATCAAGGTGCAGGCTGTAGATGGAAGGACTTGTTATGGTCAAGGCTAATGTTTGTAACTTAACAAAGGGACCAAGAACAATTTTCCTTCGTGCTCTATTGATTAATGGGACACAAGTCTTAGAGAGATGTTGTTTCTTTTTTTACCTCATCTTCACATGCTATATCTTCTTGGTCACATATATACCGTAATCTTTTCACAAGCACTTCTTCTGCTAGAGGTTTGAACCGGAACTTTGCACAACGGGAAGCTATGGGTTCAATAATACGGCTAACATAGTTACATATCAAACAAAATCTGGTTGTCTTTGACTGCTTCTCCATTGTTCTTCTAAGAGCAGCCTGTAATACCAGAACAACATATTATATACAAGGCTACAAACTCTAAATAGAAAGTAAAAATTCACCTCCAATGGTTTGAGATAACTTGAGACTCAATTCGAGGTTGAAACTCTATTGTAAACTTACTGAAGCTTAGAAAAGTTACTAAAACCTTAAATTCCTTATACTGTTTCTATACAACTGTAGTTTGTATTATGTTTTTTTATATCCTTACTGCATTGGCCATACAATCAAAAACAGCAAAATTTGAAATATTTGACAAGACAGCATTGATAGCTGTCTCAGCATAGATAATTCAACTTGACCTTGGAAGATTTCAACTTGATTATATGGTACAAGAGATTGTACGTAAAAAAGCATTAGTAACAGTGCCAGGTATGTTTCAATGAGTCAGTGTTAATCATTCCACTTGTAACACTTACCTGAGCTGCTCCTGTCATAGAGTCTGCCTCATCAAGAATCACTATCTTAAATGGAGGACATGGCTTTCCACTGAAAGATGTACAAAACAATGATGTTCCATAGTACTTATAATTTCAATGTGAAAGATAAGAAATCCTCTTCTAATTTTCCTCATGCATTTTAAAGTATGGCTCTTAAAAAAATAAAAATTAAAAGATGGACAAATTCATATAAAATATTTAGCTGCTAATGGTTAAGAGAATTAACTATGACAATTGTAATTTTAGATCTTAATTCTTTTATCTTTATAATAACCTGTCAAACTGCTGCTGAATTTATATATATTATATTTTATATATATTTCAATTTACATTGAAATGCTTCTGCCTAACTATAGCCAGTATAATATGACAAGTGTTCAAGTAAATATTTAGAAAGTATACTTACTCTGGTCGGACACTACTTGCCGACTGTTGTGAAAATGTTTTCACTTTCTCACGTACTACATTAATACCTCGCTCGTCTGAGGCGTTCAATTCTAAAACCCTCGTCTTGAAAATATCACTGAAATATCAAAGGAAAAATGTTTTCAGTTACTTTGTACCTATCAATATAAATATCAAACCAACACTTTTCTTCACAAATACAGGTTTTACTCATTTCAGAAATTATACTTCAAAACTAAAATCAGCAGTTGCAACTTGACACTTGTGCTCAAAATATATGTTACATTAAAGTTATCAACAAAATTACATGGAACATTCTTGCTGAATAAATTTAAGACCTCAAATACCTTTCAGCAAACAGAACAAATGAAAATAAGTTCCTTTCAAATTCAGATAAAACAGCAAACAAGTAAACCTTACAAAATTTTAAAAAGTAGAGGTACATCTAGATAAACCTTACAGTGTTTATATACAATATATCCATAATTCACACATTAATTAAAGCTATTAAGTGGTTAAATTACCCAAAAAGTTCCCTGGAAGCTGCTAATATTGTTGAGGTTTTACCTGTACCAGGTGGACCATAGAAAAGTAGATTGGGTAACTGAAACAAAATGTACCATATTGATCTAACCTTATTATAATATAAATGTAGGTTGTTCCGCTTTAAATTATGAAAATTAATGTCTATTAAAAGTATAATAAACAAGAATATTTGAATGTTGATAAATAATCAGGACTCCACACCATTGCAGTCATCGAATTTAGAACTGGCCCGGTGGCCCATGGCCAGTGAAAATTAGTTCGGGCCAATGTAAATTTTAATAAGTTTTAGTTAAATATATAGTAGAATAATTTCAAAAACTGGAATTTGAGCCAGTAAATTCAAAATATTAAATTCATTGACTGCCATTGTGAAATTGCTAAAGACTCTTGCCAATGGGTCTGTCAAGATTGTGTTGTTAAAAATTGATTTGTCTTCTTCTGTTACTCATTGATTTTGGTTAGGAACTCATTGTTTTTATACATATGTGTCCTTGCACTAATTATAGGGACTTTCTAAATCACTGGTAGAAACACATACAGTAAAAACCCTCAATTAAGACCACCATCGGGACTGGACCAAAGTGGTCTTAATTGCGGGGTGGTCTTAATTGTGGATATTGTTATCATTGCTTACACACGTTATGACTAGGGCCTATTTTAGTCATTTTGTATGAACAAACAAAATGTATCTTAACCTGCAAATACAGTATGAAAGTATGTTATAATGTTACATCTGATGGGAAGAAAACATATTTCTGAAGAAATTTTTTAATATCAAATTTTCTTTGCTCTGATTTCAATATTAATTATGTATGATATACATAATTCACATATTATGTAACACATTATTTTTTCACAAAATAAATGTGCATAAAGCAACATTAAACCACTCTGAAATTAACTTTCTCACCTTTTTCATGAAATATCCCATAAATAACAGTTTTTGACACCTTGTGTAATCAAGGGTCATGCCTAAGAGCAATCAAGCAGATAATAATAACATAACAACACATCTAAGATCTAGGAAGGTGTTGATTTTAATATCAGTGGTCTCAAAAGTGAGGTCAAATAAAGAATAAAATAATGAATTGGGACTGAATTTGGTGGTCTTAAAAGTGGATAAGTGAGGTGGTCTTAATTCTGGATCATGTAACCATTGACATAAAGAACAGAAAATTCCGATCATTTAAAAACTGGTCTTAAAAGCGGGGTGGTCTTAATTCCGAGGTGGTTTTTAGTAGGGATTCTACTGTACTTACATCAGAACCCTGTAGTGACTTTTTCAATACTGCAACAACTTCATCTTGATATGCAACATCGTCAACACATCTTGGGCGGCTAAAATCATATCACAAAAAGCTTTTTTAATGTAATTATTATTTAATGTATAATAAGTATTAAGTAAACAAATTTTCTATCAAAATATAAAGAGTGTGTACTCTTTAGAACAGATATGGAGAAATAAGCAAGAAGGAAATAAAAAGGCAATTATTTCCCCCAAATATTTTTAACAGCTTTTTTGCCAAAAAATGGCTATTAAAACTGCCTTAGAATCTGAATAAATTAAAAATAAGTATCATGATTCATATGACAATTTTCTATTTCCAGCTTTTGAATGGTGGAGGAAGACCTCAACGTGACCGTTGGTGCATTATTTTAGGCTGGATTGCTAACTCACTGTGAAATGACTTTGAACCCAGTGATAAAGGGCAAGTAATTAGAAGCAAACCACCTGAACAACTCGAGACACAGAGATGCCTTCTTTAAACTTATACAACACTAATATATTCAGATATACTCTTATTACACAAAAGAACCTAGCAGATATTCATTTTAGAGTCATATGTGAAAAAAATGTTTCTTACTATTTTTCAACCCATGGTACATGCTTCTTTTTCTCCTTTGCTTCTTTCGACACCCCAGCCTCAGACTTATCTTTTGAGGCTGTACTCAAAGTACCAGTCTTCAAAAATGCATGCATATTATTTCACAGCCTGTCAAATAAACACATCAATATATTTTTTCAAATAAATTATTTACAAGGCCAATTATAAAACAGGAATAAAATAACTTAACATGATACCTAGATCTGTTACTATAAGAAATTTTAAAGTTTACCTTTTTTTATTTAAAGAAACAAATCAGAAAGTTTTTCTTAGAAATTTGAACCAGGCCTTTCTTCCTCTATTTGGGAAAACGCCACATGGCAAATTTGGGAAATTTGCGTAGTATAATTTTCCAATTTGGGAAAAAAGTTATCATGAAATTTGCCACTTTGGGAAAATTTGCTAGCATTCAATGTGTTACAAATGTAAAAATAAATCTATTTAAGTCTTAAACTGTTCAGCTTTTTCTGTCATATCAAAAATTATTTAAGTACAGGCTAAAATGTGTACAAAATTAATGTAGAATGGGTGGACCAACGCACGGCATAAAAATACTATATTTGATATGGCAAATTCAAATCAACGTCAACAAACCTCAATGTTATATATTCCATTTTCAAGACCGATGATATTGTTTTAAATAGCCATTGTGTAAAATTCGCTAATCACATAATGATATGCATGGCTGGAGCTATAGATAGTCCGGATAAACAAGAGTGGTTTGTGTGAAATTGGTCCATAGCTCGGCATACAATACTACATGATGCAGGATTGTTTTTCAAATAAAATCTCTTTTTTTATCTTTTGAAGAAAACATATTGAATAAATTGTAACAACCAAATTAGGTTCATACATTTACAAGTACCCAACTTTTAGTTTAAATTTTACAGCCCCAGAACTCTAGTGTTAAAAGATTTTAATAATTTATATGTTGCGGATTACATACGGTTCAGGGCTTGACACTAACTTTTTTTAGGGGTAGTCAGAAGGACTACCTACTTTGAGGATCAGGTAGTCCTTGGCAAATCTAGGTAGTCCTCATTGTAAAACATAAAAAAATGTTTCTTATTCTATTTAAATGCATTTTGAGTGTATGTATCTGAAGATAAGAAAACAATAGCATGAGATCTCTTCAAATTTATTGGAAAAAATCACCAATAGATAAATCATATAAGATCTAGTAAAAGTTTGTAAGCTTTATTCTGCATGAGATGTAGGTTCCGGCTAGCCTCTGAGCTCTTCAAAGTCATCATCAACAATTTTTTTACATATTTTTGTTATAAAATATGACAGTGTGACACACAAAAGTCATTAGGTTTTGAAAGGCCAGACATTACCTACAGGTACAGGGTTCTAGCCAGGAATTACTAAGGTGTGTTGCAAATAAAATTGCTAGGCAATCAGCTCAGCTTATATTATTGACAGCTTATAGGGAAGGGGAGAATATATTGGCAAATGAGCTAAAGAAGTATCTGTCAGTTTTAAATTTATGTAATACCTGGCTTTTGTATTAAAAAAATATTTCAATAGAGCTTACAAATCTACTTTCAGGTATAGATAATGTATGACTTTTAGATGTGTTTTTAAATTCAAAACAGAAGTAAAATGCTTGGACAAGAACAAAATATGTTTGTCTTTTCTCTAATTGATTTATTCTACAAACTTATTTTGTCAGACATAAAACAACAAAATATCAGAATAACAAACTTTTACTAGTGCTAGTAATTCAGTTATTTAACTGTCAGAAGATTTAAATAGGGACATTAGATTAATATCTGTTGTCCCTGATTTAAACACGAAATTAGAAATGTAAAGCCTTTTTTAATCAAACTATATTGCCTTAGTTTTTATGCCTAGGGTATTAGTATTTGTTAACAATTTTTTTCTTCATATACATGTTTTGGTATTATTGCTTGTACATGATTATTTAAGAAGTGCTTACAACATTGTGAAGTTATGGCAAAGACAATTACAAATACTTTAGAATATTTCTTTTCTCTTTTTTGAAGAGATTTAAACATTTTTCTTCTCTTTTTTTTAAAATGAGATTTTTTCCCAATTAATAATTTCATGTCCGAATAAATTATACCCGAAATCAGATCTATTTCAGACAACACCTTTATTTTGGTTATCATTGTCAGTGTGATTTACATTAATCAACAAATCATATTCTTTTAAGTTTAAACCCTTGAATAGGTTCCAATATGAGCAAATATTTTCATTGAAATGTTTAATAGACAAAGAATTCTATTGAAGTAGGCTGGAAAAATCGGCAATTAAGTTGGACTTCCGGTTTCACTTATCGCAAGTTTATAGAGATTAAATAGAATCTATTATGCGTCTGCTGTGACTGACTCTGATTGACAATTATATTGAGAAAGTATGCGACATACTTGGATAGATAAAATTGGTTTGTTTATTTAATAATGATATTGATTTATTAAGGGATGTCGAGAGATTAACGCATGACGCAATTATACCTCAGTGCCTGAAGGCATGTCATGCGCTTAATGTTTACAATCATTAGTGACCCAACGGCTAATTATTTACTAGTAAGATGAATTTATCTTTCGTTTTGAATCATAGCCTAAAAATGTTATTTTATTAATTATTTTTAGTGAATTTAGAGACATCAGGTCACTGAAATTTTGAGTAGCCCGACATGATACCCAGCTTGGAAACTCGGGTAGTCCTTGGGGAAAATAGGTAGCCTCAGGCTAACGAACCATCGTAAGTGTCGAGCCCTGCGGTTGTTCGTCTGCTATTAGCATTGTCACGTGACTTTACCAGCAGTGAACCACACCAGGATAAAATGGTGAGACGTAAATAAAAGCACCAGTGACCTAAATCGGAGATAACTCGAGACATTTTCAGATATTCTAAAAAAAATATTTTTTACGCCGAGCATTGGTATGAGCCAAGCATTGGTCAAACCACTCTAAAACTGATATCAATTAAAAAATCCTGTTTTCATACACAACACATGAATATAGATACTCCTTAATGCCATTTTGCGAATGCAGTACTTTTTCTATCAAATTACCAACTTCTTGATTGGGAATTTTTTTTTGGATGGGAAAAAAATACACAATTAGGATGGGGAATGGGGCCCATATTCGGACCCGTGGGATGGGGGAAAAGGCCTGTGAACAGTTTGGTTTAGTTGCTGTTTAGAATTTTTTTATTATAAATTGGGTATTATAAGTGTATTTTGGATTGGGAATGAGGCTGCAAAATCCCTCCAGTCCAAAAGACTGGGCAGACAAAAAAGCTTCCGGAAAAAAAACGGAACGTACCGTCACAGAAGTGGGCGAGTTTTTTATGGAGCGAATCGTCAGTAGGGCGAATCAATATATCAGCAGTGCATCAAAACTTGACAACCCATGTAAAGTGGCTTAATTTAATTATAGCCTTTATTACAAGAACTTTCAAAATAAATCTATATACTTGTAAACAAAAAAATGTGTAACAATTTTTCGCACCAATTATTCCCCGCCAAAGTCCAGTTTATTTGACGCTTGTATTGAGACTTATCTAAATTCCGGTAAATCCCGTTTCATTCCGAAAGAAAATAAAGGTTAAAAGGTACTAAATTGAAGTTTGTTAATAAATAACTCTAAATATTTTTTAAACTTAAGTTAAATTAATTAACCGTTTATTCCATACAATAAAAAATAAACGTTTAATCGCCTTTCATTACGACAATAATCAACACTAATATTTATAAGTTTTCCCTTTATATACTCAACATCACTAATTACGCATCACCACTTATTTCACGGTAATGGCATAATTTTATGTGACCAGTGTTAAAATTTGTAATAATTGACATTTTTTATTTATACACCTATACAACAATGTTTTTGTGCAAAATATCTTAAATCTCTAGTTTATTACGTAAAACAGAACAACATTTTACAAATTTTTGCAAAAAGCAACTATAGTCCATTAAATTTGCCCGTATGTCTGAAACAATCATCATTTTCTAATTGTTCTTGTTTGTTGAAGAATTAAATGTTGAGTTACAAAGTAAGGATTGTTTTAATATTTAAAATCAAACAAAATAACATGAAGAAATTTTAACCGAAACATGAAAAAACTGAAATGAAACACCATTACCGCAATTTAAATGAAGACTTACTGTTTTCAAAATGGCCGACATATGGTCTACGTTTGGTCAATCAAAATTGACTTTGACTGAATATATTGCTGTTTCCTTGTGCAATACAACAGAATACAGACCTATATGTTATAGCTTAGGACAATTTTTGTACCATAAGTTTCATTTTTTTGTTTGTTTTCTCTCTGGCTTCAAAGCGTTAAGAACCGTGAACTAAGAGGAGCAAAGTATATGTAATACGAGCCCGGATCCCAAGCGTCCCGGATCCCGGGATTCCCCCGCCCCCACCCAGATAAATGGGTTGATGTACACTTAAAATGTTCCGAAGTAAAATTATACCAAATCATAACCTTTGGTAAAAACGTTATAACAAGATGCAAAAATATCAATTGCTTAGACACAATAGCTGGCATATCTGATCATGACATCATCAGATTAACGTCAAATGTAAAACCCAGACTAAATAATCAAAAACCCCGTTTGAAAAGCTGACTGTGCCAAATTCCAACATTGTATTGACTCAAGGTCCCCTTCCCTCCTTATTGGTTATGGTACTAAGTCTGTGGAGGACTTATGGTCAGAAATGTAAGGACTTCTCCATGAAGGAATGAACCTATTTATTCCAACAAAGAAAATTGGTTCAAAGCCCACCCTTCCCTGGATCAACCAAAACATTAAACGCCAGATAAGAAAAAGAGACAGCTTATTTCAGAAACTTAAAAGAAGACCAGTCCCAACTTAAACAACAATTTAAAATTTTATGAACCATGTAAAAAACGTATCAAACAAGCAAATGACTTGTTGGACGTAAACAACTTTAAATCTGCGACGTAAAAAAAAGAAAAATAATTGATTTAAAGTATGAAAAACGTTAAATTCAAAAGAAAAAACAATAGAAATGTGAGAAATTAAAAGACGATCATTTTCATGTATTTTTCATTAATTTTGATGAATGTTATGTGACAAAATTTTACAATAATGGATGATGAACATTTAGCGATTGAAACGATCATTAATAGAAATCATAGTAATGTGCGTGATCAAACAGCGGATTTAAAACCCTACATCTTGAATGAGAAAACAGCCATGAGAAAGAAATTGCAAGCGACAGAGCGTGTTCAGATGAACATTGAACAGACGGGTGGAGGAGTAAAAATAACGCTCAATACTGGAACTTATGAATTTTTAAAGGCGGCTGCAGAACATTTTTATGCGGAGAGTTCTCCACAAAATAACCGGAAGATAATTCCCGTATATGACAAGAAAGATAGATTGGTAGAAACAAGATATAAAGTATCAAACGGTAAGACGCATCTTTATACATTTAATATGTATCATTCAAAGTGCACATGCCTTGTTAACGGAAAACAAACAAGGCACTTTCTTGAAACTGATCTACCGAAAATGTTGGATTATATTGAAGCCGGTCTTTTATCAAACGATTTATCCCTCTCAGAAGTAAATGAAAATATCAAACAATGGATATTAAGCAATTTAAATTCTGAAGACAATTGGCAGAATGACGAAGCGCCGGAAACGGCTATAAATTTAAATATAATTTCGGAAGGGAACGTTAGTGACAATGAACTTGATACACAAGATAATACTAATACTAATGAAGATGAAATCACTGAGGAAAATGAAAATGTAAGTGAAAGACATGAATATTCTGAGTTAGTGATTTTGAAAGAAATTGTACTTGCATTACAAAGTAGTGTAAATGAATTACGTCAGGAAGTATCACAACACATTGATTTTTCAAAGGAACAGTTCGTGCACATTAAAGATGAAATCATGAGTGTGAAGAAAAAGATATCTCTTGAATCCAATTCGTTAATTAAGCAAGTTGATGTGATCAATGAAGCGGCAAAATCCATCGAAACACAAGTGAAATCGGTAGATTATTCTATCCACAAAAAATTACAATCTATAACAGATATTCTTAAGATGAAGGTGTGCAGTTTTTTGGATTCGCAAGAAACGAATGTCTCTAAGGATGATATAAATCAAAATATCCACATTAGCGAAAAATCACCGAAACATGATGAAAAACATACGATGGAAGGAACAATACCAAAAACTATTCGATATACTCAAACTAATATTGCGGACAGTCATACTAAAAGTGTCACGAATAATACAGAGATGGTAAAACGACAACGTAGATCTTTTATAGATATATCAGACAGTACAGCACCAGAAAAACCAGTTTCAAGATCAATCCCGGAAACGCTTATAATAGGCGATTCAATTATAAAGGGAATAAATCAACGCGGGCTTCACACTTTTACAGAGACATACTGCATAAGAGGAGCTGTTGTGAGAGATATATCACATAAGTTGTGTAACTGGAATATATCTGGTTGCAAAAATGTAATCATTTATGTAGGCGGAAATGACGTTGCTTCAAGCACACCAACAACTGCAAGTAGCATAGAATTAACAAAGACCATCAACTACTTATATCATCATGGCATTAACGTATATTTATGTACAATATGCCCGAGAATAGACGTCGATGTAACCCCGATGAACATTGCCATTAGAAAAATTTGTTATGAAACAGGTGCAACACTGATAGATTCATATAGTTCATTTGTGTATGGAGATGGAAATGTAGTGAAGCATATGTATCATCGTGATGGAATTCATCATAATATAAGAGGGTCTAGTGCGTTGGTAAGGTGTATTAACAAATCACTGACTATTGTAAAGACGAAACAAGCAATAACTGGTAGATATCATACAGATACACAGAACACAAAACGTCAAGAACAACAGAAAAATGGATATTGGCAATTCCGAACAGAACCTAAAATCTTTGGATCTCTGTGTAAAATATGTGGTAGGATCAATCATAAAACTGTTGACTGTAGATACCGTGAATGGTAGGAAAAAGCAGACAGGCACGTGTTTATTAATCAATTTGATACAGATAGCCTATTTATAAATCTTTGTAGCAAATGCAATTTAGAGCAATGTAAATGCGATTGCCTATCAGTTAAAACACCAAATACTACTGATAATGATATTTATTATAGTAATATATGCAACAAGTTTGTTATCGAACAGAGCAATTCCGATTCCGTTTCGGTAAATTCAAAAAGTACTTATGATTATTACAACTTTGTAAACAATTGTAATTCGGAACAATTATCCTCTGAACTAAGATATATTTTTGCATATACATGTAAAAGATTAAATAATTTAGGATCTACTATTTATAGTAAGTTAAGCAGCTGTAATCATTTAAACAAACTATCTAGCATTAATAACAACTCAAGAACCTCTGGTGGGATTTCTAATATAATGTTAAGTAAAAATGACCATTGCGATAATTCGTATATTGATAACGAAAGAGTCAAATTTAAACAAAAGGGTTTTCATGTCATGAATTTAAATGTACAGCATTTACTCCCAAAATTCGATGAAATTCGAATAATTCTAAACGAATTTAAAGCGCATGTATTTGGATTATGTGAAACGTTTTTAACTATGAATGTATCTGATAAAGACATTGAAATATCAAGCTACGTTTTTGAGAGAAAAGACAGAGTTGGTAAAAAGGGAGGGGGTATACTTGTTTATGTAAAAGACAGCGTCCCTTTTAAACGAAGATATGATTTAGAAACAGTCGAAATTGAATCGATATGGATAGAAATTAATTTTGTGAAATGTAAACCATTTCTCTTAAACTTTGTATATAGACCCCCTGATTCAAAGCAGGTTTGGGCTGACCTGTATGAAAAACATCTTGAAATGGCTGATCAGATGAATTTAGAAATGCACATTCTAGGTGATTTTAATATACAATATAGTTCAGAAGAAGGGTTTTTAAACAATAAATGGGCATCACTTTTACTGAAATACGATCTTAGGCAAATCATTAATAAACCTACAAGAGTGACAAAAAACAGTTCATCAATAATTGATCACATTTACACAAATAATCTTGATAAAATTAATGAAAACTTCGTATCACAAATTTGTGTCAGTGACCATTATTTAATATGTTTCACTAGAGGAAATACTAGCACACATGCAGGTAATCACAAAACTATAAAATATAGAAGTTTTGCTAAATTTGATACAGAATCGTTTCAACGTGATCTAATTGATTCTAATTTTGATTGTATAGAGACATTTAATGATCCAAATGAAGCTATAGAATTGTTTTATAACATGATAAATAATATTCTAGTGAAGCATGCACCATTTAAAATTAAACGTATAAAAAGGGACACACAGCCACATTGGTACGATGAAGAAATTAAAAATGCACGCTTGAAAAGAGATAATTATAAAAAATCTAATCAGTGGGATTCATATAAACTGTGGCGGAATAAAACAAATAAT